TTTAATCGAATTCCCCCAATTGTTGTAATGTTCTAAGCGACTCATAATTGGTTATTTTTGGAAGTAATCATGGCGAGGTTACGTTTTCCTGGCCGTCCTGGCCATCGCTTTGATCGTTTTAAGCCTTCGGTATTTTTGCAGATGACATTAAGAATTCGCAGGATCCATTCTTTAGCATTTTTGCCACAATTCCAACACGGTCTCAAGTCATTTAGAGACATCGGTTGGCTTGTCGGATGAGGTAAAACATATTTGTATTTCCATCGGCTTTCAAAATGGCCGACATCGCGAATAAAAACAAGCGTATGAATTGAAAAAGTGAACGTATTTAATGCGTAGAGAACAAAATAGTTATAACAATGATTCCCGTAATTGTTGATTCAAGCTGATATGCATCACATCTGAAAAATAGTAATTGATAACGTGAATTGAGATTATTTACAAAAAATAAGAGGATTCCTTGAGCATAGCATAGCATTGACTGATGCATTTGTATCCTTACCAACATTAACAATTTTTTGTCAACAAAGCAGGCCATACATTAGTGCTTTGAAATTTGCAATTTATTTAATTATGATATCAATCTTATTCAAACAATATAATGTCAGTGCAGTATAGATAATGTGTAACATATTTGTAACAATCTTAAAAATTCATTTGATATCAATAATGTAGTAACATATCTACTTCTGTGATTATAAAAGATATTACACATTTACTTTTGGTCAGTAAAGCATGTATGCATGTAGTAAAAGCAAATAACCCTTACACATTGGATTGATGGAATTGTATAGATTTGCAATACAGTAATTTTATTAACCATATTATACATTGAGGTATAAAATGCAGGGTTGTCATTAACATTTTTTGCAGAAGGTTTGTTTTTTGAACTTGAGGCGGTCATTTCTGTCTTTATCATGCATAACAAGAGTGTTTTCTTAATTTTGAGGCGGCCCATAATGCATTTGAGACAGGCAGTTTGGCCTCCTGCCGCCTCTTAATGGTACACAAACATATTTACAGGTTGCCCATTGCAAAAAAAAACTTCTTTGATACACTGAAGAGTAAGTAAAAACCATTTTCTGCTGAAATTATTGTAAATTGTGACATGTGTAATTGTGTACAATAAAAAAAAGGCAATTGGAATAAAATTTCTGTCCAAATTATATTCAGTGTGGTTGTGGATTAATTGGTACAGTAACATTATAATAAACAACTGTTTTAAATGCATCTTCAGCAAATGTTTACTGCGACTGTTAACAGTTAGGTATTTTGTGGTTGGTTTTTTTGAACTTTTGAATTCTTGTTTTTAACTAGAATCATTTCTTGTCAGCAGAAAAAGAAGAAGCATTTTACCACCATGAATGTGTTTTTGCAGTTTTCTATAGAACTGAGTTAAACATTTGATTTTTTTTCTTTCGTTCCTCTATAATACTTAATTATTCATCAATTTAATCAGTAAAGGACATTGGGCTTCTAACCTTAATTAATGGAAAAAAAATTGATATTTGACAATTTGCCTCTAATAGAACTATTCACATTCTTTATGTCTCCTGTACATTTTTATTTAGCCATTATCAGGTTCAGAATTTTGCTAGTGACTTTATTTTTAATGTTGGAACAACCCATTTCTTACATATAGAGGATTTCAATATCACAGAGCCCCCGTTAGTAAATAGTATTGAATATGGAATCTGATGGTATTGCATAGAAATTAGATGACAAAGGGGATTTTAGGACTAGTCATTATTGCGCTACTGTTAAGAGTAAGAATATGGGTTTAATTAGGAAATTCATAATTGACACTCTAATTACAGGATGATGAATTTGAAGGATTCACTGCTAAAGAACTCAAAGATGGTGAGAAGAAGCTTACTTTGTTTAATAAAAGAGCAGCAAAAGAAAGAAGAAATGGAGGCACAGATGTCAGAGCTGGGCGAACCCGTAGAATATGGGGGGGAAAAGCTCAGGAAAATACGTATATCTTAAAATCTTGGCCAGCGCCAGTAAAACCTGGAGTGAAAATGAAACATGTTGAAAAATCCAATGAAGTCTTACTTGAAGACAAAAAGTGTTAGTCCAGGTAAAGCTAAATTTCATTCTACAAAGTTAAAAGGTTCAAAGTTATTTGACCACAGAAAGAAACCAAAGAAATTTAAATTGGACTATAAACATGGACTTCATGATACTGGTAATTTGGAAGGGAAAAGTAAAAAATCCGACATGGACATGGCAAAGTTCTTGCTTGAGAAGGCTAAACAAGCTAACAAACTACAAGAGCAAGCTAAAGCCCGCCGTTTGCTGCTTCCAAGAAACCGTCCAAGTTCAGCGAAGAGAGTTTGTATTGCCAACACAGAGTTCGCGTTCATCTCGGGTGATTAAACCAAATAAGAGGTTCTTGGAATCAGATACTGTGAAATACAACTGTTTATTAAAAAATCCAAATGTGAAGAAATTGTCGAAACTACACCAGAAAAACAACCAGACTTGACTTTCAAACTTGAACGAAAAAAGAGTTTAGACAGTTTCCGTCCAGTTTCAGTGGCAGTCCGAACAGTATAGGGTTACTTGACCAACCACTCATAGTGGACGGTAAAAGACAGAAAACCAAGTTTGAAATTACAAATGTCTGATGATATGAGTCCTCCCTGTTCTCTCCTACAAAGTCTGCGATGACCAGTCCATTGGCAGCACCCAAACTGGGAACCAGTCTGTTTGCAGGGTCCCAGTTTCAGAAGGCATCAGAGAAACAGAAATTTAGCATGATGGGATTTGGTGCCTCTAGGTTACACGGAACATCTATTGTTCAGAAAGCCAAGTTGCAACTTAATAGGGCAGCCCTGAATAAGTCAAAAGCAGCGTTGGCGAGGTCACTGAAGCAGAAATGAAACGTGAAGCTAAATATGCAGAACAAGCAAAACAGTATGAAGCTGAAACCACTACGGCAGTACCAACTGATAAACCAGTCATGGAGAAAGGTATGTTGTAATTTGCACTGTTTTATAATGAAAATATTTACACAGTTGCTTGTTTTTCTTACAAGAGATGACTGAATGTAAATTGCTTTGTGTGTAGATATATTTTATGAATATATAGGAAACTGTGAATCCTTTCTGTAATTCGGTGCCATACAAACTTCATGAAAATGTCAGCAAGTTGTCATGATGGTGTCTTAAATATAATTAAATAGTACTGATATTTAAATGATCTCTGAGCGGGCCCTGTTCACATGGCATAGAAATCAATTTCTTTTTTGGCTGCTGGCTTATTAGTCACAGGTTTCTGTGATCATTGATGCTGGTTTTTTAAAAAAGGCCATATTTTGCCATTTGCAGTGAGTAATAGTACAGAACATACTGTTTTCAGGGAAAAGGGGACGAAAGAGAAAGAGTTGTGCTGTCTGCGGAAAGAAAACAGATTTGACTGTTTGCTATGAGAAGATATTGGCCTGCATGTCTTGTAGAAGATTTTACAAGGAAATTAAATGGTTCATTAATGTAGGCACTTTCACCAAACCAATCTGTTATAAGAATGGTATGTACATGTACTTATGATACAAGTTTTCTTCCCAGTTCAGAGTGTTTTCCCATTCACCTGTCACAGTGATATTTGTGCAAGAAATAAAAGTTGGGTAAAGGCCTTTTCTTAATTGGCCAAACGCTTTATAGTAGTCCTAACAAGGCTAACATTTAGGGTGATGGAAGGTCATGCAAAATAGATGACCTCGATTTATTTGAAAAAAAAAATCATTGCACAAAAAAGGTTTTATAATGAATTAAGAACGTATTTACATTATGTGGAAGAGTTAAACCATATGCTTATTCACCAGTACTTGGCAATGAGGACAGTGTCACAGAATATCATTGTCACAATGACCATATTAGCAGTCCTGATCTTAAAAAAGTTAACAAATCATCATAAGACCATGTGTCATAGTTCATTGGTTCCCATTGAGGGGGTCATAGTACTCATACATGTTTCACAAACATCTGTGATTCAGACTTGTTTTAAAATATTTGCAGAAAATTCCAACGGATTTGTTTCATGCATAATTTGTTCAGAAATTCTAATTATTGATAATGAATAATCTTCACTCCTGATTATGTTTATGCTTTTCTAAAGTAGACAAAGCAGTACAAGTAATGTGGATAACTTAAGACTCGTTTATCTTATGGTATTTCTGTATTGTAATGAAAAGTGTATAATATATTGAAATAATCTTTAAACTGACTGATATATATGTAACTGTTTCAGACAAGTGTAAGTTGATACCTGACAAAATAAAATGTAGATTTTGTCGTATAAAGAAAGCTCTTCAAGTTGGGTTTCCAGCCTTACCTGAGATGACAGAGCTGTTTGTAGAGGAAAAGAGGGAGGTGAAGAAAGCTGTAACGATCGAGGAGCCAGTTTATGTAGATGTCGAGACTTGTTCCCCGGCTGTAAAGAAAGTTGAAGAGATTTGTTCCCCGGCTGTAAAGAAAAGCGTACGAAAAGGCACACCTGTACAGTCTCCGATACATGTATCTGAAACACCAACACTTTCTATATCGCCTCCTCCATTGCCTCCAACATTAGATGAGACGGTATGTATATATTCCTAGTTATGTAGATGCAGTATGGTTTTAATAACTTTAATTATATCTGCAATAGGGGTAACCTTCTTGACAATGTTTGTTGAAGTGATATAAGTTGGCTCACAGGGTTGAGGAAAATTCATTCCTCTGCTCTTATTTACTCACATAATTTGAGAGACTGCAGAAGGACAAGAATAAAAAATGTACCCTGTAGAATTTAGTACTTACTTGAAAGTTGATATGAAAATGTTTTTGAATCCCTAGCTCACACATCTGTAATTATGTATTTGTGTCTTTTCAATTGAGGAAACTTTTCAGGTATTTTATGGAAGTGGTTCTACTCAAGTGCCTTCAGTAAAGCTGGAAGATCTCTTTGCGTGCCATAATTGTCAGTGTGTCAAGAACATAAAAAAAAGAAAGAAAAAATTGCATTGTCACATCACTTATTATGTTGTTTCTTTTGATAAAATTGCAACTCCAAAAGTTCATTTGTCTAATTTCACTTATTTCAGCCAACAAAAGAACAGGAGTTATCACCCCTGAAAGCTGGGGAAGGTTCTGAGAAGCGACAGAGAAAGAAGAGGGCATTTAAAGAGCTATTGCGCAATAAACAGGATAAAGTGGAAGAGGAAGAACCAGTTCAACAAGGTAAACATGTACATATTTTTTTTTTTATTGATTGGAAATAAAATGGTTTGTATCATAGTGTGTAAAAGGGGAAAAGCAATTGTTATCGTTTTGTTTTGCTATTGAAAATTATTGTGAAAGTTTATTACTTCCTAATGGTGGATTTTTGATATCTTTTCATACATTCAACACTTGGCTTATATAGAATGTATTTTAGTTTGTGTAGGAAGCTTTAAGCTTATAAACACACTTTCAAATCTATTCCTGGAACCAACCAGTACTGATCAATGAGTGTAAAGTTTCTTGCTCAAGTAAACAACAACTTGCCCCAGGCGGGGTTTGAACCCATGCGGCTAGCAATCATTAGATTACTACTCTGACGTGTTAACCACTCAGCCATTCCCAACTTAAATTATGAAACACACACAAAATTTGAAACTTTCTTAGCGAAGATTTTGTGATAAAAACTTATGTTTAGCAGCTAATTGAACAAATTTTACCAAAAAACATGAAAGAGTAGATAGGACTTGCTGGGTACTCTGTTTATAGACATTGTCTAAACCAATTGATAGCACTTACAAAAACTATTTAACTATTTAAATTTCTTTGTTTACCTACAGAAAAACCTGTCATTCAAGAACCCATACCTGTAGTTGCAACAGGAAGTGTTGAAATCTCCCCACGCGGTGGTCCAGGTCCAAGGATCAAGCATGTGTGTCGCAATGCAGCTGTTGTCCTAGGACAACCTCTGGCCACATTTCCTGAGAAGTCAGAATTACGTCTTAGTGCACTGCCAACAAAAGATAAGGTTCAGTTGTGGAAGAAAGATGAAGAGAGTAAAGCAGGTTAGGGGTTTAACTTTCTGTATTTCATTGTTCTTGTCAACAGTATTAAAATCTAGATACAATTCTCGGTCGCTTAGCTCAATAGGGAGAGCATTGGATTTGTAATCAAGGGTTTGCTAGTTTAATCCTTGGGCAAGGGGAAATTTTGAGTGACAACTGATCTTGGACATCAGATCTTATGGTTAATAGTCGAGTCACTTGGTGGAGAAATTGGTAATTACTGGTTAAATATCAAGGGTCAAAATGTCAATGCCAATTAAAAAATTCAGTCAATAATCAGATATGTACATATTTCAGCAAATGACGAGTCTGATGATGATCGACCAATGGAAGAGATCATACAGCAGTCTGGTGATAGTGTTGTGATTATGAAGAAATCTCCGGCAAGGGGAAAGATCAGCAAGAAGCTGACCGGAGCTGGCGGTTTACATCTTTACAAGAGGAAGATGAGGTGTCGTCAGTGTCCGGGCTGCGTCAGACAAGACTGCGGGATATGTCGGCATTGTCTGTAAGCTGTAGTGTTTGTTATTCTTATTAAGTATAATATATTTTAATTACATTATGATATCATACATTGTTATTTAACTCACTACAGTGTTGGAAGCGCTTGCAGAATTCATGATCACAAGATAGAAAAATATCGCTTTTTTACGCTGATTTTTACATTTTTAATTCATAATCATATATAAATCATGTGTGAGTATTATTGTATATAAATCGTGTGTGAATAGATGATTTTGACACCTAAAAGTGCATTTTGAAGGGTGAAAAGGTGTGATATTAGCATTTAAAAATTCAAACACTTTGTCTGGTATATACTGGAATACAGTTTTAGTGTGGTACTCCAATCCTGTTTTTAAGTCTCACTCATAATGATTAGTTGAAATGTTTTTGTTTGTGAATGTTGTAAAGGAGGTGTAGTTCACTCAACCATATGATAGCATGTATTAAAATCAAAACATATGTGTCTATATACAATGTAGATCAATTTTCTTTTATTATCTATATTTAATTGATTCTATTTTCTATGTACATTGTAGATGTTTATCTGATGAGTTTGTTTCAGGGACATGAAAAAGTACGGAGGCCCAGGGACAATTAAGAAAGCTTGTGTGTAAGTGAATAATTTTATTTCCATAGATTTCATGATTATGATTTTATAATTGCAGAGATAAACCAAAATTTGGTGGACAAGGCGTTCTCAAACAGGGCTGTGTGTAAGTCTATCTGTGTAGTGTATAGTGCTGTGTTAAAGTAATCAGTTACGCTTGTAGTGCTGTGTACTCGTATATGTGTTGTGTATCTTTATAGTATGCTGTGTACTTCAATTTTAGCTACATATGCTTGTGATAACTCTTTTAAATGGTTATTTGTATAACCAGACTCTCTTTAATGTCATTTCTAACTATTAGACAAATTTTATTCAATGGAAAGAATGTATTTTTCTTAAATTGATTTGATATGTAATAGAATAGTTGACTCACAGAATATTATTAAAGGGATATTCAGGCAAATAAATGACAAACATTTCAAAATTATCTTATTTACTCAAATCATGCTAAAATGACAGTTGTATAAGTCCCAGCATGAATTTCTGTATAAATTCTATATGTTGGGTTTGAAGGGTAAATATATCTTTATATGCTGAACGAAATTATGCCACTGACAGAACAAACCCTGGAAGTTACAATAACAGATATTGTGGATATTGCATGATTGAAACAAACCTAAATCATTCATTTGGCCTGTTCTTTAACATTTCAAGAGTTCACTAAGGCTTTGAAACTTTACACACTTGTTCACCAGCATGACCCCAACCTGTAGACTGGAGGAGTTAACTGTATCAAACATTTTGACAGAATTATGCCTCTTTTTGTGCCCCCACGTTAGTGGCGGGCATTTAGATTTACCCTTGTCCGTCCGTCCGTCCTTCCGTCCGTCCTTCCGTCCGTCCGTTCACTTTTGTGTCGCACGTAACTCAAAAAGTATTTGACCTAGAGTCATGAAACTTTACAGGAATGTTGATCAGCATGTGTAGTTGTGCACCTGGGTATTTTCGTCTGGATATTTTTATTATTTTCAGTGTTATTGCCCTTGACTTAGTAAAATTTTGCAATTTTCAACTTGTGTCGCATGTAACTCAAAAAGTATTTGACCTAGAGTCATGAAACTTTACAGGAATGTTGATCAGCATGTGTAGTTGTGCACCTGGGTATTTTTGTCTGGATATTTTTAGTATTTTCAGAGTTATTGCCCTTGACTTAGTAAAATTTTGCAATTTTCAACTTGTGTCGCATGTAACTCAAAAAGTATTTGACCTAGAGTCATGAAACTTTACAGGAATGTTGATCAGCATGTGTAGTTGTGCACCTGGGTATTTTTGTCTGGATATTTTTAGTATTTTCAGAGTTATTGCCCTTGACTTAGTAAAATTTTGCAATTTTCAACTTGTGTCGCATGTAACTCAAAAAATATTTGACCTAGAGTCATGAAACTTTACAGGAATGTTGATCAGCATGTGTAGTTGTGCACCTGGGTAATTTCGTCTGGATATTTTTAGTATTTTCAGAGTTATTGCCCTTGACTAAGTAAAATTTTGCAATTTTCAACTTGTGGCGCATGTAACTCAAAAAGTGTTTGACCTAGAGTCATGAAACTTTACAGGAATGTTGATCAGCATGTGTTGTTGTGCACCTGGGTATTTTCGTCTGGATATTTTTAGTATTTTCAGAGTTATTGCCCTTGACTTAGTAAAATTTTGCAATTTTCAACTTGTGTCGCATGTAACTCAAAAAGTATTTGACCTAGAGTCATGTAACTTTACAGGAATGTTGATCAGCATGTGTAGTTGTGCACCTGGGTATTTTCGTGTTGATATTTTTAGTATTTTCAGAGTTATTGCCCTTGACTTATTAAAATTTTGCAATTTTCAACTTGTGTCGCACGTAACTCAAAAAGTATTTGACCTAGAGTCATGAAACTTTACAGGAATGTTGATCAGCATGTGTAGTTGTGCACCTGGGTATTTTCTTCTGGATATTTTTAGTATTTTCAGAGTTATTGCCCTTCACTTAGAAAATTTTTGCAATTTTCAACTTGTGTCGCAAGTTACTCAAAAAGGATTTGACATAGTCATTAAACCTTATGGGTAGGTTGCTCAGCATATTTAGATTTGCACCTGGGGTTTCGCTTGTGGATTTATCCAGTATTTGTAGAGATATTACCCTTGACTTAGTAAAAAGATTGACAGAACAGTGGCGCGGTGGGGGCACCCGTGTCCTATGGACACATTTCTAGTTCGACTTGGAATTTATGTTAAAGTTTTTGTAATATCTCAAATATTTTCAAAGCCAATTGACATATGGCTTTGAAACTTTGCACCCTTGTTCACCATCATGACCCATCCTGTAGACAGGAAGAGGTAACTGTATCAAGCATTTTGATAGAATTATGCCCCCTTTTCAACTTAGAATTTACATTTAGGTTTTCATACCACATCAGATATTTTCATATTCTATTGAAACAAGTTGAAATGTTATACTCTTCTTTGAGAGCATAATAGGACTCTCTTCAAGGCCTCAAACTGTAACATGGATTTAAAGAAAAATTTTGCCCTTTTGTTAACTTAGAAAATTTTACATTATCAAGGCTTTTTTTAACTATCAAGCACTAAGAATAGTCGAGCGTTGCTGTCCTACCGACAGCTCTTGTATTCTTTATAAGGAGGAAAGTTTTGTTCCTGTGACTGTCCAGTGTATTCATGTTAAACACATTTACAGAATGATAAATGAAAAGTTCAAAACGAAGAAATGAAAATTTTGCCTGTGTCTCCCTTTAAGTATTTAAAAAAGGTTGACCCGCCCCTGTAGCTTGTTATTTAGATTGTAAGCTTTTAACTTTCTTTGCTTGATATATAATTAACAACTGTATAGTTTTAGCTTTTTCTTTTGCTTTAGTGTGGCACTTGGGTAATCTATTGTTGCTCTTACTGACCTTTAATTGTATGAATGGACACGATCTACGTCTGAATTTGTGTAATATACACTTTCTTCTTTCAATTTAAACTGGTCTTTAAACCTTGTTCCGCTGACTGCAACTTAATCTATCAGTAAAACCAGTGCAGACTAAGATCAGCTGGCACATCCTTGCCATCTGATCATGGTCTGTACTGGTTGCTGTGTACTTATTTTGCGAACTTATTTTGCGATTTTCACTAAAAATAATAAATGGTTTTGTCCGGATTAAAAGATGGACAAGTCAAATTAAGATATTTAGTGTGGTAAGATTTATCTTACTTCCATAAAGCTTGAGATAGCAATACTTATATTGAACAACAATCAACTGTATAAAACAGCTGGTCTCAGCCGTCTGGCACCGAAGTGGTGACAACGGCTTCATAGAATCTAACAAAATTGACTGTTTATAGAAAGTAGTGCTTAGCAGTTGTTATTCAAATGCAGCCATGTGTCCATTTATACAATTATTTGAATTTCTTTTTTAGCTCAACTGTCACAAAGTGACAGGGTGAGCTTTTGTGATCGCTTTTCCTCTGGCGTCCGTCCGTAAACTTTTACTTTAAATGACATCTCCTCATAAACCACTAAGCCAATTTCATCCAAACTTCACAGGAATGTTCCTTTGGTGGTCACCTTTAAAAATTGTTCAAAGAATTTAATTTCATGCAGAACTCTGGTTGCCATGGCAACCGAAAGAAAAAAACTTTAAATATCTTCTTTTAAAAAACCCAAAAAGCTAGAGCTTAGATATTTGGCATGAAACATCTTCTAGTGAGTGTCTACCAAGCTTGTTCAAATAAAAGCCCTGGGGTCAAAATTGGCCCCACCCCAAGGGGTCATTGATTTTCCCTATATGCATATACTAAAAACTTAAAAAATCTTCCTTTAAAGAACCCAAAGAGCTAGAGCTAAGATATTAAGCATGAAACATCTTCTAACGAGTGTCTACTAAGTTTGTTCAAATAAAAACCCTGGGGTCAAAATTGGCCCGCCCCAAGGGGTCATTGATTTTCCCTATATGCATACAGTAAAAACTTAAAAAGCTTCTTTTAAAGAACCCAAAGAGCTAGAGCTAAGATATTTAGCATGAAACATCTTCTAATGGGTGTCTACAAAGTTTGTTCAAATAAAAGCCCTGGGGTCAAAATTGGCCCCGCCCGGGGGTCATTGATTTTCATTTTATGTGTATAGCAAAAATTTAAAAATCTTCTTTTAAAAAACCCAATGAGCTAGAGCTTAGATGTTTAGCATGAAACATCTTCTTGTGGGTGTCTACCAAGTTTGTTCAAATAAAAGCCCTAGGGTTTAAACTGGCCCCGCTCTGGGGGCCTATATACAGGTGAGCGAGCTCAGGGCCATCATGGCCCTCTTGTTTTTCCTTTTTCATTGTTTTGCTTGTGTTGTTTTATTTCCCATTTAAAGTTTGTGTTATATGTATAACCTATGTCCTTATATGAATTTCTTTGCATCATTTTTAAATAGTAAACAACACTGAGTGCCTTATAGAATTATAGTGACCGTTCAGGCAGCTGGCAAACTTTGAATCTTTCAATGTTTGAGGCCGACTGGGAGGTCACTATACTGCTGTGAGGTCCGAAGTAATGTGTACAATTTCTTATATTGTACGGCGCTTAACTTGAATAAAATGATTAAAAGTACAAAAAAAAAGAAATTATATTGTTAAAAAAAGTCCAAGTAAATTATACTTTTGCCAGCCAGCTTGTATCGTGTGCGTTTTCTAAAATCTACCTGGCGGTAATACATTACAAAATTTTAGCAGGCACAGGCCTGACTATACTTTTTTTGTTGGACTGCTGATGTCATTGTGAATATTAACATTTAAAGGCCCGCTAACAATTGTATAGATAAAGAAGGAGCACATTTATGTAAGATATTAGATTGCATATTAGTAATTAATTTACCTTATTATGCCTTCCTTAAAAGAACCGAGGATATGTTGCTTTGTATATTTCTGTTCACCCATTTATGGAACAAACTTTGATGATTATAACGGACAAAAACCTGTCAAATTATGAAATGAACTCAAAAACTGTTAATTTTGGTTGCATTGCCCATCACCACAATAGGTCACCTATAGCCTTCAGATTTGGTAGGGTCTTTGATAACATGAGAGTTCTGTTGCCATTAAGTAGTCAATGAGTTTCACTTGACAAACATCTAAAAATAATACTTCACATTTACATAGCTACCCTTTATTTGAATGAACTATTCTTGAAAATATGAACTATTCTTGAAAATATTATTGTATTTATTTGTTTTTGGTCAGATTTTGTTTGCCTTTACACAAATTGTTTATTAGAATGGAAACTATTAAACTGAAAATTTTAGTTAGGCAATAGCAAATAAATTAGATTCTCATCCACACCAGCTTTGCCAGTATTGATCTTCCGCAACATCTTTGTATTTTGGGAAAAAAATGGCATATCAAAATTTCAATTTATTATTATTCAATGCTAGTTAGTACCTTTCAATGTTTAATATTCAAATTATTTGTTTTCCTACCTGAAAAGCATGCAGTGTTGATTTTGATTTTCATCTTATAGAAAACCCATTTCCTCGCGATAGAATTTGAAAACTTTTGAAAATTAAGAAAAATGAAATATAGATACATAACAAAAATATATAACATAGACCAGGCTCATACACCCTAATTTTCCCCAAAGTTTGGATGAGAATCTAGTTATTCATATTCTATTATATTACCTGAATTTTATAACTGTGCCTCTAAGTGAAACAGTTTTAACATGGTAATTTTTATTCTGCTTATAAATTCATTCAGATTTGCTTTAAAGTAAATTGTGCCTCAAGGGAGTGGATACACATGTAGATATAAAGGTTCATATTACATTATAATAGTTTTTGATCGCAATTTTTCAGGGAACGAAGATGTTCCAAGCCTTTAATCAAGCGTTCAGCTACAGAAGCATTCATCGATGAAAAAAAGAAAGATGTAACTGTACCAAGAATTGAAAGGACAAGAGCTGTCTCAGAAAGTGATGGGCAGGAGGGTCAAAGTGATTTTGCTCCTGGTGATAACCTGGAACCAGTCATTCCAGGGTCAGAGGTCACACAGACTGTGTTTGGACTAGAAACTCAGACTGGTACTCTCCTTGAGGATGAAACCCAGTCCAATAATAATGTCTCTGAGAAACCAAATGAAAATATTCCTGCAGAAAAAGAAGTCAAGCCACTTCCTGAGCAAACAAGTTCGCAGAAATTTGATTTAGAAAAGCAGAGGATTGTTACTAGGGGTCAAAGCACAACCACTAGAAGTCATAGTACAGAGGTGAGAAAGTTGACATTCGAGGATATACCAAATTTCCAGCTGGAAAGAATATCCTCACGAAATAAAGAATCTGGAAAGATATCATCAAAGTTGATGAAAAAGATGGAAATGCAGGAAAAATATTCAAAGAAAGAAGGAGGGGTAGGAATTTTTTTCTGTCTTCGACATTTTACCAGTATGCTGTTTTGGTGTGTTTCATTGTTTATTAGTTTTTTATACATAAGAGAAGATTGATTTTAAAAGAAATTTAAGCATAAAAGAAAACATGTGCTATGTTGAATTGCTACAACTTTAGCTTTTTATGAAACATATTTCTTACCATTGTTACATATGACATGGTCAGTTTTGTATATTTATGCTAATGAATACAATTTATATTTTTATTTCCAAACAGAATGATGGCCAATGTTATCCAGTAACCTTGCAGTCAGTTCTACCTGCATCAAGGCAGTGGGGAAGTCTACTTTCACAACCAAAGTACTACCCTATCAAGGTGGACTTCAAGGTATATAATCATTTCTTAACATGATGATTTATAGAGATTAACACTAGTGTAACAAATTTATCATACAATGAAACTTTTGATCAAAGGCCACTCAATATAGGCAAAACATGGTCTTAGTAGAAAAGTGGTCTATATTATAGGTTAGTTTAATCCATTAGTCAATGATAAGATATCAGAAAAATGGTCTTTGTTTACAGGGTTATCTTCATTTAGAGGTGTTCTTTAACACAGGATTGACAGTACAAGAATATAATGAGGAAGAGAAAAAAATTACCTTGGCATTGACCAAGCTTAAATCTTTGAATGGGCCTCCGATCTTTTAATAGGAACTAGCCATTGTTCATTTTAAAGATTTCAAAGTGAAGCTGCTAAATTCACTAGGCCTAAAGGAAAAAATGTACAGTCAGATTTTAGACTGGCCTATGTACTGTACTATAATATATCCTTTGTATATGTCTTTTTTTCAGGGTAAATGTGATTTAGGTTCAGCTTGGAATTATGGGATGGCTTTAACAATATCAAATGCTATGAGTGTTAGAGCCTTGTGTTTCCTGTGTGGAAGTGCTGGTAAACATGAGGTCAGTTGTATGTTTATGAATAATAATGCAAATGAAAATCGCTAGTCAATAGATTGTTAAGCACCCTTATTTTCAAAAGTCTGTTAGTCTCACAGAGAAATTGGTGATTACTGGTAAGTTATCTATTAAAGTCTGTTAGTGGAACCAGCCTCTTGGATTTTACCATAAATGTGTTAAAATTTCACACATTAAATCAATTTTGAAGATAAACTTTGAAAACAAAAATGTGGACATCTGAGGTGTCGTCTTTTGATCATCTACCAGTTATTTATATATTTTGTTTGTGTCAGTTGTATCTAGCTTGGGGTGAAACTTATTTACTTTCGTAATTTGGCTTTGCAAAACAGTTAACCATCAGCTAATTATTTAGGTCTGTACTTGAAGCCAGTATTTGATTTTTATGCCACCGCAGCATCTGCGATGCGGTGGCATATAGCGATTCACCTGTGTGTGTGTGTGTGTGTTTGTTTGTGTGTGTGTGTGTTATATAGATTCTATTTCGTCAAAACACTTTCGGTCTAAATGAGATAGTACTGCGCATGCCGCCCAATTCAGTTTGCTGCATGCCGTCGTAAAGACGACACGCTAATTTCATATCAAATAATTTTGTAAACGCGGGTTTAACAATAAGATTATCGAGTTTTTGTTGTTAAATATCGGATATATTTTGAGAAATATTCATCAAATTGAATTATCGGACGACGTTCGATATTTATATCATTGTGTATTTTGTGTAAAAATAGGATTTTTCGTTGTAACAACGTGGTGTTCAACATAAAATAATGGCGGAATCAAGTAAGAAATTGCCGGAAGAATTTCCCTCTGGGAAAGGGGAAAAACAAGAGACAGGTCCGAACGTAGTTCGGAAAGGCCTGGAAAGGCAAATAAATTAGCAAATTCGTCAAAAAGGAAAATCACCGCGCAACCCGGTAAATCCGGGGAAAAGGAAAATTCTGACGTTGGTCGCGAATACTAATGATAAAATGTTGACGTTGTTTGCAAACAAATTCAAGAGTCCATGAACGAACAAGATAAAAAGTTGAACTAGTGTTAGCAACAGAATGGACTATTTTGAACAAAGTTTTGAGTACGCAGGACGAATGTTCTTACGTGCCTGAGCCTTCGGAAGATGAACTTCCGGTTGAAAATCGCGTAGACGAAAACGCGAATGTGACAAAACGCAAAAACACTGACAGTCGTTTCTCTTCCATGGCGAAGAGGTTTTAAAATGCAAGAACACTGCGATAAGAGTGTTTGATGAAACATTGTCCGAGAACGTTAATGAAATTATTCAGGAAGGAATTGAAGATGAACGTTATTCAGAACTTGTTAAAAGATGAAACAAAATGCCTAGACTGAAAACTGTGACAAGTCTAGTTTTGTTAAAAACAAATCATTTGATATGGGATGCCATATCACAAGGTGCTAGAACAAATGATAAAAAATTACAGAATGTTGAGACTTCTGTAATCAAAGCTGCCACTCATTTGGTGAAATCAGTGAAACAAAATGGCAATTTTTGGAACGTGAACAAAATGAGAAATATTGGTGAGTTAATTGAAAATTGTAAATGATGTTTTGGCTCTTTTGGTCACTCTAAATAGACAAATAAATTTGTTACGTAGAGATTTGATGAAGCCGGAAATAAAAACAGAATATGCACATTTGTGTACACCTGCTGGTTCATATGATCCAAAAAACTACTCCCGTCGGGGAGTGGGGCCATTAAATGCCCTCCACACCCATCCCATTATGTATGAAATTTGTGTTCATTTATGACTTCAGTATAGAAATCGCAGATTTCTTAAAATTTTTAGGCAATAATGCCAAAATGCTTTAAAGACTGAATTGGCGCATGCGCAGTACTATCTCATTTAATCCCTCAAGTGTTCATTTGACTCATAGAATTTCAATCAAACATCGACTTAACCAAGGTAAGTCTCGTTTAATTTTCCAATTATATAGTGAACTTAAAAAATCTTCTTGTGAAAAACCACTAGTCCAATTTCAACCAAACTTGGCAGGATTGATCCTTGGGTGAAGGGCTTCCAAAGTTGTTCAAAGAATTTCATTCCATGCAGAAATCTGGTTGCCATGGCAACCAAAAGGAATTATAAGAATAAATTTAAAAAATCTTCTTGTAAAGACCCAAAAGGCCTAGAGCTTAGATATTTTGCATAAGGCATTGTCTGGACGACCTCTACCAAGATTGTTCAAATTATAGCCCTGAGGTCAAAATCGGCCCCGCCCCGGGGGTCATTGATTTCACTATATGTACATATAGTAAAAACTTAAAATACCTTCTTGTAAAGAACCCAAAAGGCCTAGAGCTTAGATATTTTGCATAAGGCATTGTCTGGTAGACCCTTACCAAGATTGTTCAAATTATAGCCCTGGGGTCAAAATCGGCCCCCGCCCCAGGGGTAGCATTGATTTTCACTATATGTACATAGAGTAAAAACTTAAAATACCTTCTTGTAAAGACCCAAAAGGCCTAGAGCTTAGATATTTTGCATAAGGCATTGTCTGGTAGACCCTTACCAAGATTGTTCAAATTATAGCCCTGGGGTCAAAATTGGCCCCGCCCCAGGGGTCATTGATTTTCACTATATGTACATAGAGTAAAAACTTAAAATACCTTCTTGTAAAGACCCAAAAGGCCTAGAGCTTAGATATTTTGCATAAGGCATTGTCTGGTAGACCTCTACCCAGATTGTTCAAATTAAAGCCCTGGGGTCAAAATCGGCTCCGCCCTGGGGGTCATTGGTTTTCCTTATATGTATATAGTAAAAACTTCTAGTAAAACTTTAAAAAAATTTCTTCTAGCAATTGACAAATGCTAAAGGTTAGCTATTTTGCATGAAACATTGAGAAGTGAAGTTCTAGCAAGATTGTTCAAATTATAGCCCTGGGGTCAAAATTGCCCATGCCCCGGGGGTCATTGATTTTCAATATATACATATAGTAAAAAAATCAAAAAATCTTATTGTCTGAAGGTTCAAGGCTTAGAGCTTTAATATTTGTTAAATGATATCATTTATAGGTACTCTACCAAAGTTGTTCAAATTTTGCCTCTAGTGTCAAAATTAGCCCCGCCCCGGTGTCAGTGATTCTTATTATGTACAAATAGTAAAAACAGAAAATAAAACAAATGTTTTCTGAATGGGAGAAAGCTACAGCTTAGATATTTGACTTGAAATGTTGTTTGGTGGATCTGTATCAAGATTGTTTTGAATTAAACCCTTGGGTCCAAAATTTTGCCTTCCCCAAGGAGACAGTAACCTACTTTCTTAGCAATGAAATTTTAACCATGTGCACAGTTTTAGTTGTAAAATTGAAACTTTGATATCAGGTGACCTAGATTTTGATTATGTGACCTACTTTCTTGTCCTTTGATGCACAGCTAAGAAATTTGAACCATGTGCACAGATTAAGATGTAAAGTGAACCTTGATTTCAGCTTGACCTAGATTTTGATAAAGTGTCTTACTGTATTGTCCTTTGATGTAGTCATAAAATTTAGGCTGTGTGAAATATGACCTTCGCCACCAAATTCACTAAAAACTCGAGTGCATTGATATATTCCTACATGATCTTTTATTGAGTTAACAACAGATTTAACCACTAATCTGATAATAAGAATTAGATTATTTATAAGGTCAGGGATCTATGCATTATGACAATCTTCAAAATTGTATAGAAACAAAAAAAAATCTGTTCCTATTCTACTATTTAGTGTTGTATTAATGCGGTGGCATAGCATTTTTCTCAAATGCAATCTTGTTCCTTCTAAAAATGGCTACTGAATTTACAACTTCATTTATAACGGCAAAATAATATAATCTTAAGCAAGAAATTCATTCAAAAAAAGATCAGGGGAATAACAGCATTTTAAGCATGCAATTTGTCTTATACAGGGGTGTTAAGAGTTTTTCTAGCACTGATATAGACAGTTGAAAATCCCGTCTTACATACAAGAAAAATCCTATTTGTGAGAATTAAATTTTTTTATTTCAGATGATATATTGTAACATATGTTGTGAGCCGTTCCACGAGTTTTGTTTGGAGGATTGGGAACAGCCGACGCCCGATCACTATGACGATTGGATATGTGCAGCATGTCAGTTCTGTCACGTTTGTGGGAGACAGAATAATGTAAGTATATTCATACTGTAAGCTTTGACTTTAGATGAATTAGTAACGAAGCTGACTAGTTTGTGGATCAGCTTCGTGATATTTGTTGTTTTTTTTTGTATCAGCTATTGTGCCTGATTTTAAAGAGTTCATTTTAATTATCATAGTGGAAATCTAAATGTTCATTGTATTTGGCATAACACAGGTTTGGCTTTATACCGGTGGCAAAGGCTGATTGCCTAGGGATCAGCACTTAATAGACACTATTATACACACTTAAAGTTTCCATGTAAAGTCATATTACGTAGAAAGTGTACGTGTATCTTATATTTTATCTTTCATTACAGCTTTTACAATGTGATAAATGTCAGAACACCTACCATCCTGGTTGTCTGGGACCTAATTATCCCACTAAACCTTCTAAAAGAAAAAATATCTGGGTAAGTATAAAATATTTATAATATAATTTACTGGAAGTGCAGTATCTAGGTGGATAATTCTTTCATCTTGTTAATCAGTCACAATTTGAGATATAGGGAATTATATGTATTCTGGTGTCTAATATCAGACAAAGGTTCAAATGTTCCCTTTATTGTACCTTTCTGAGTCCTATTGAAACCAAACTATAATCTGAGCCCAGTCTATTTGATGACTTTTTGATATACATGTACAATGTTTTGAAAAGCTGAAGTGTGTTAGTGTTTAAAATATTTTTGGAAAGAAAATTTGCTGAATTCTATAAATTTCTGAGGAAACAATTTGTATCCATTTTAAATATTTTGCTTTGATCAGTGTGTCAGGGTATGTATATGTTTTGAGTCATAATTATTAATGAGCAGCCCCACTTGAAAACATGTGTAAGTGATATTGTTGCAAGACACCCGCCCATTGATTGAGGTATTTAATACTTAATAGTTGTTGACGCAAACTGCAAAAATCCCTTGTACAAAATTTAGGTTTAAAATGTTATTTGAGTGACTTATAAGTAATGTAAACTTAAGTAGAGGAGGATCATACAAATTGTTACCTCTTCTCGGAGGTTCTCTGTGTATCCTGTAAACTTTATTTTATTCTCTTAATGTTTGAACATTATTCACATAATATAAAAGTTTTGTACTCCTGATTTCTTACAGATTTGTACAAAATGTGTGAGAAATGTAAAAGTTGTGGGGCAACAACTCCAGGTTCGGACTCCCAAGCCACATGGACATATGATTTTTCACTGTGTTTTGAATGTGGTCGTTTGATGGACAAGGGTAATTTCTGTCCTATATGTCGGAAATGTTACTCGGATGATGACTGGGAGTCAAAGATGATCCAGTGTAACATGTGTGAGAGCTGGGTACATTCAAAATGTGAAGGCCTTACAGGTATGGTGTAAATTTGAGTACTTGAAATATTGATGTTTTAATTAAACATGATACACGTCTATTGTTTTGAACCTATTTCGTCTATTGGTCAATAAACTAACATCTAGTTTGTTTAATATGAATTTTGTAAACAAATTTTGATAACATATCATCACCTTAGTGCAATGACTGTTTATCTCTTACTAAGTTTTATAAGTTAACACATTACTGCACTAAGGTGGCAATATAAGAAATGTGCTTGAAACATAGATGAATATCAAAAATTTTTACTTAAATATATTAGTTTAGAAAATATTTTATTCAGAAAATCTTTAGATTTCCTTTACTATTATTATTAAAGCCTAACTAAACCAAGACATTACCTATTATAAGAATTAACCATTTTCAGCTTTTTCAGAATTCTTTATGGTAGATAAACATTAGTTTTCTATCAATTTTTTTTTCCAGATGAAATGTATGAAATATTGTCGTATTTACCAGAAGATCTCTCTTTTTACTGCCGTAAATGTTTTCCTGTTGGCTGTCCTGAATGGGAGAGTACATTAAAACGAGAATTAAGGCTTGGCCTGGAAAATATTCTACAGTCTTTAATACTCTCTAAATCATCGCAATATATACTTAAACAGGAAAAGGTAACATTTATCTATAGGATAATAGACTTAGTTTTATGTTATTACAATGTATACCATTTTATATTTGTGTATGCTTAAGATTTGGCCTCTGTGGTAGAGTGATCTAAGTTACTGACTTCGAATCATGTAACCCTCATTGCTGTTGATTCATGCCTTACAATGTCAACGGATTCATTCATGTGAAGGGAGCTCTCTAGAGATATCTTCAAAAGTCATCTTTACTTGGTTCTACTCGGGTGCCTGCTTATACCTAAAAATATGCATGCTTGGGGTCTGGAAGTTCATAGCATTTAAAACCCCAGGTGCTATACATTTCATGGATTCCACCTGTAGTTATAAGTAACCATATAACAATAAAGTGTTAGGGTGACTTGATTGATACACACTGTCCTTTCTCCTCCCTTTTTTCCCCCATTTTGTTTGTTACCTTGCTGGATGCCTTATAGATGGTCCTGTATGGCCATGTACTGTTGCAGGCTGCTTTTAGTGAATGTCTCCCGTGTTGATATTTCCTTTATATTTAACCAAACTAAAACTTTTAATAATAAAAAATGTATGCTAGAAAATAATGTATAGGTTTTAATTTTCAAGAAAATCGTAAAATATAAAAATGTTCACAAGGTTATGTATGTTTATCCTCTTTTTCAGAAATCTCCTCCAAAACAGCAAGCACTGCCCTCGCATCAAACTCCAGAAAAACAGAAGAAATCCTACACATTAAACAACACTAGAAATACAGAGACCACACAGGAAAGGGTGAAAAGAAACATGAAAAGTTTTGAAAAAATTAAACAGTTGTTAAATTGTGGCAATAGTAAAGGGTTGACTAACGGTTTTGTTGAAGATTCAAACATTGATAATCATGAGTCAAACACAGAAGATTCTTGTGAAAAAAGTCTTCAGACTGATACTAAGTTAAAACAAGCTTGCGTAAATGAGTTTGGTAATACAATAAACGACGCAAATTCAAGAGAAAACCATGTTGCTATGGAAACTAATGATAATTCCGGTGATAACTCGCTGTCTCAGACTAATAATATTGTTGGTGATAATTCTGACATTGCTGAACATGTGATAAATACTGTGAATAGTGAGAATACAAAGCAAAGCTGTGATAATAATGATAATAATGACCCTAATAAGGGCTTCCCTCCTAATGAGGGTTGTCCTGTAACCAAGGGTTGTCATGTAAGTAAGGATTGTGCCACCAGTGAAATTGTTGAAAATAAAGGAATGGTGGAAGATAAAACTATGATCTGTGATAAACAAACAGTTAGTGATTATGTCAGTAAAGTGCAAGGTTGTGATGATGAAAGTGAAATTAATAGCAAAACTGAAGAAATTCAATGTGATAATTCATAATACGTGGATAATCATGAACTTTGGGAGTTTCTGAGCTTCCACAAGATGACGATTCTTAGGTCCAGAAAAGAATCGACGATGAGTTAAAAATGGAGAAGCAGAAGGGTTAGTCCAGCGGGGTGTCACACCATTTGAAGGTAAAGGAAACAGTGTTAGCGTTTACTCAATCAAAAAGCTTTAATGCTGTTTAAATGTGCAAGTTGTGAATGTTGGAATTTCAGGTGTTAAGAACTAAGGCCGTCAGATTTAGCCAACAACAGGCACGCTGAAAATAAAGGGGAAGTTGTTCAGAGAAGAAATACTCGCGTACATTTTAATGTGGATGATTCCAGGAATGAACATGTTGTAGGAGAGATAAAAGAGACTGAAAATAATTTTCCGAAAGATTTGATGGAAATTGCTCAGAAAATGAAAACTGGGGACTACAAAAGTGTGGTAAGTTTGTATGTAATCTTTTAAACAGATACAAAATATAGTTTTAATTCATATTTTCGCTTTACTTTTAATAAACAGTGATATAAAATTAGAATGAAAAAAAGATAATTTCATGTTTGAGAATTTTGACTGTCTGAATTGGGGAAAAAAGAATTGTTTTCCCTATCGGCTATAAGAAAGGACCTAAAGTACCTTGTACACATGAGAATATGACAATGTCAGCAAAAAAAAGGCCTTAAAATACCTTGTTTGTTTGAGAATGATGATATTAACTAAACACAGGCCTTAAACTACCTTGTTTTCTTTAAATATGACAATATAAATGGCTAAATACAGGCCCCACCCTGAATTACTTTGTATAATTGAGAATATCACTGAAAAAAAAACAAAACAGGTCCTTATATACAATTGGTTATGTTACAGGTAATATTTTGTGAGGATATATTACGTGTAATACAAACCTACCTGGATAATGAAGAAGAAGCTAGAACATCCAGGAAGAAAGCCACACAGTCTGCTAAATCAATATTTGCTAAGGTAATAATTATATTTTATCTGAAATTTAGTAACTTATAAAATAATCGGGGTTAAGATTCCTGATTTTAAACGTGTTGCCCCTGATAATTTAAAACCCTGTAAAGGATATGTTATTGTGTTGTTTGTAAGGAAGTAGTTGTGGTATTTTGGAAGTTAACAGGCAGTTCTAATTTCTTGACAAGTGTGTTGCAAAGTGTTCCTGGGATCCTTTTACCAGGCACCACCTGCAAAGCTAGATTGTCATGGTATGACAATTAGTGAATTACAAAGTTTGCTTTCCTATTTTATATCTACACAAAATGTATTAGTAATGTATCATATATTCATGGAAACTGAAAATCAAGTTGATATTTAGAATGAATATAAGAAAAAAAATCATGAAATTTAGTCTTTACTATCTACAGCTTTGTTATACATGCATAGCTAATAAAACTTATTACACTTGCATTATTTGACAGCAACTAGAGAAAGTGTTTCCATGGTTTAACGTGAAGACATGTAGACATTGGTACAGCATGAGAAGTCTACCAGAGTAAGTGTATATTACAATATTTTATTTCTGTTTTGAATGACAAAATAGTTTGATTTTACACCCACTTTATCTAAGTATGGATTTTTTGGCAGCCCAACTTATGGCTATTACTTTTGATGTGCTCTTGCTTAGTGATAGATATTTTCTGAGACTGCAGTTTTGTATTTTTAAGCCATTCTTTTCTCAATTCGAAAAAACTACATGAGCTGCATTTTCTGAGGCTGCAGCTAAGTATTTTATAAGCCATTGTTTTCCCTAAGTGGAAAAAACTACATGAGCAGCATTTTCTGAGGCTGAGTTCTGAATTCTAAGGCATTCTTTTCCCAAGTTGGAAAACTATATGGGTAGCACACTGCCATTACATAAATGATGAAATGGGACAACTTATTAGATTACAGATGATTTAATAAAAAAATATTAAAATCTCAAAGATTCCTTTAAGCTATTTCAACAAAATAATTTATCTTTCATGGATATAATTATTTTTCGTCAGAACTCTTCAATTTTCCTTACTTAGATGTGAATTATCCTTACCCAGATGTATAATGTAATTATTACAGTGGAATGTTACCAGATGCTACATTGCCTCCTAACAATGACCATACTTATGCTCAGTGGTTAGAGCGGATAGAAGTGCCACGGTCACCTCAACCATCGCCATTCAAGAGGAGGACGGCAACACCTGTAAAAAAATACATGCCAATTGGTTAGTTCATGATAATATTTTAAACATGGGGTCATTTTAGCTTGGTTGTGATAAAGTTCGAATCTTCAGTTTGATTTATAAAATAAATAACCATGAGATAGCATGTTTGATACCCCAATAGTTCTTGAACCTACAATCCCTTGGTTGAGAGCCAGACTTTAATGACAAGACAAGGGCAGCAAAATCAATTGTTTATCTTTTTGTTTGTTCGAATCATTCCTTTTTTTTTTTTTTTCTCAGTATGATATTTCTGAAGTAAATTCTTGAAACATTTCACTGGTCCATACAGGCTGTGGGATAAACTGGCCCAGTGAAATGTTTCAAGAATTTACTTCAGAAATATCATACTGAAAAAAAAAAAAAAAAAAAAAGGAATGATTCGAACAAACAAAAAGATAAAATCTTTGAACTGAAAAGTAAGAAAAAAAATATTCAGATAAAATGGACAATTGGACATATTAGTCAAAATCAGATTTTATTGACCCTGCTAGACCAACTATTAGTTTTGACTTTTCTAATACTTTATCTGGCATCTTTTTCATGTGACACATCACAAAATATTTATTATGTACATAGATGAGGAAGATTATGAGCCAGGTCAGATGTATGATGGTGATGATGAAAGAAAGTGTATGTTCTGTCAGACATTTGGTGACCAGGAAGCGAATGTAAGTGCCTTACTTTATATTTTATAATTATAACATGATGTATCTTATCCCTTTCCCACATGGACACGGGTTTAAACATTAGTGCGACCATTGCAGATCCAGTTCAGCCTGCACATCCACGCATTCTGATTAGGATCTCCACTGTTTGCTTTTAGATTCATAAAAGAATTTTGACTGAAAAGCAAACAGTGGAGATACTGATAAGACTGCACAAAGGTACAGGCTGATCTTGATCTGCAATTGTCGCACATGCGTTAAAAATGTATCCATGTGGTAAAGGGTTAAGAAGAGGAAGAATCAAACTTCAAAGGAATGTGCTTTTGGTGACAGTCTTCCAAATTCAAGTTAATTAACATGATTAGAAAGGAACCTTTGAAGTTATTGTACACATTTTATCTTAATCCATTAAGATAAAAAATTCAACCTATATTTTGGTAAATACACTGAATTGTGTTGCCTTAATTAAAAGAAAAGAACTGACATATATGGAATTAAGTAGTTTTATTGATTTGGCTCAATGTTGAGAACTTATTTTATAGTTAAGCCCTACTTGTTATAGTAGTTAGCTAATACTGGTAGTATTTTAGTTATTCTGTAAGAGACGCCCTTTTTAGAAATTGTATATTTTATATAAAGGATGCTGGACGATTATTGTACTGTGGACAAGATGATTGGTGTCATATAAACTGCGCATTATGGTCGGCGGAGGTTTATGAAGATGCTGATGGTGAACTTAAGAATATTGTAGAGGCCTTTAGTAGGGGCAAAATGTTGGTAAGTTCTTAAATGCTTTTCTTTTGTATGGAAAATGATGAGTTGTTTGAGTGTAGAAAATTGGACAGTTAAAGTGCATATGCGATTCTATAAATCAATCAAACCACTTGCCCCTCACTGTTGCTGTTGGTTCGAATCCCGACAGGGACTTTGGATTCTTTCATGTGAGGAAGCTATCCAGCTAGCTTACAGAACGTCGGTGGTTCTACTCAGATGCCCGTTCGTGCCTGAAATAATGCACATAAGGGCACCTGAGGTCTTCCTCCACCAGTAAAGCTGGAATGTCATGATATGACCTATACTGTGTCGATGTGACGTAAAACCCAAAACAAACAAACAAACTATAAATCAAGCAAGTTTTGTTATGGTATTAGAGTAAAAGATTGTTTCTATATAATGAAATTTTAATATAAAAATTACAAGATACTTAAAATTTTTACTAATTTTCAATAGGATTTTCATTGTTTGGTAGGTCTATTTTGATTTTAACTTTTATTAGTCCAATGTCAATAAAAATAATGCAAGATTTGTTTTGTTGTTTAACCAATCTATCTTGATAGTTTGATGGTTGTATTAGTGGTTGTTTGTGTGGTAAACAATAAAATCTGAAATTCTAAAACACTTATATGCTATCCAGTTATCTTGGGAAGGTTCATGTTCTACTAAGGTTTCCACTGTTGACTGAAATTGTGCACAGACTTGAACTTGTCCTCTACCAGTATTTTTTTTTACTGGGTTTTATGTCACACCGACACAGTATATTATAATCATCCATATTTACAGGTGAAGGAATACCTCCGAAGCCATTCTGTGCATTATTTCAGGCCTTAAACTGGAAAGTTTCAGTGTTATGTTTGTTGGTGTGGTTTAAAACCCAACCAAAATTATTTTAACTCATACCACACAAAGGAAAGGAAGCTAAAAGCAATTTTTTATTAACATTATTATTTTTTTGCTTGAACAGAGATGTGACTTGTGTGATAAAGCAGGAGCCACAGTGGGATGTAACACAAAGGGTTGTAAGTCAAATTACCACTTTATGTGTGCACGGAAAGACCAGTGTAGATTTCAGGAGGACAAGAAAGTGTTCTGTAAACAACATAGAATGTACATAGATGCCGAGGTATAACCTTTTACAATTTATTGTATGTGTGACTTGTCAATTAAAATCAAAATAAAAGCAGTAAAAGATTAAAGATAATCTTGTTAATGCAGCCTTAAACTGTGTAAATGAGGATTTTTACCACTGTTTTTGTCTTTAATTAGCTTAAAATGAAGTAATCCATGACATTGTTTGGTTTTAGGTGAAGAATATTTTAATTACAAGTATACAGTTTAATTTTGATGAGAAGTTATATTAATACATAATTTAAACATAAATGAATTTTTTTATGTCTGACCAAAATACTACCTGATTATTCAATGATTTGAAAAATACTGTACTCAAAGAAAATGGTAAAGGGTGAAAAGACCTTCATCAGGGAAATGCTAAAAAAAATTTTGTTTAGAATTTTCTATAGATGCATTTTGAAAGAAGTTCTTAATTATTATTTCTGTTTTTTTTTCAGTTGTTAACAGGAGATCGTTTCAATGTGTTACGAAGAGCTCATGTGGGCACACTATTTGTTCGGAGTGTAAAGAAACGCTGGTCTAAAGGCCTTCACTGTGGAGATGTCAGTGTTCTAATGGGTAATTAATTTGTATTATTCCTGTTATATAGAAAAAAAACCCAGCATTTATTCATTTATGTATTATAATTTTCAAGATTAAAATTTTCAATCCATATTAACAGGAATAGAAAATGTCATATTGCCATGCTGTACCTGCTGAACGTTTTTAGTGTACATAAATGAACATGGATGATCTAGAAACATCAGAGTTCATTTTTGGTGCTCAAATTTATGTATACGTCTGTAATGGTTTTCTGTAAATCTATGTTGAAAGCCATTCAATGTTCATCTCTGATTCATGTATTTAAAATTAGCACAGTAAACCCACACTGGAATACCTTGTACAGGTTTTGAATCAATGTTTTAAGGCAAGCAAATAATATATTTTAAGATTTTATGTCCAGTGTTCTAGCATGACATGACATATGTTGATTTTCTGTAAATGGTACTCTCTTGCCCAAATTTTATTCACTGTTTTAGCTTTGTGTGTTCTGAGGATGCATGATTTTTATTTTCTCAACACTATTGAAATTCTTCTGTGTTTTAATGATATAACAGTCTTCTTTGTCATCAAATGACAAAAGTACTTGCCTTATTTTGAACAAATACTTCTACATTAGGAAAAGACTCCAATAAGCATAAGTTTGCTTCCAATCTAATCCTTTCTTGTATTGATTGTAAATGTCATGTATGTAAACATGTTGAAACCAATATGATTATGCTGATATGTTTCAGGTTCATGTTGTGTGGAGAATCTTGGAAGATTGACTGATTTATCTGACAGCCCTAAATTCTTACAACCAGTAGACTTCATGTAAGTTTATTCTGTTATATTATCACTTGTAATATTTTAACCTTCCCATATGGTTGCTGCATAGCTAATGCAGCGATTATGTAAATTGGCCGTCATCCACATCCATACAGTTTGACCATACTGTAAACAAATGGCTGTTAAAATTTTAATATTTTGATATGAAAATCCTTTATGTTTACAGATTCAGACAGGGCAAGTCTGATCCTTAAGCTTATTAAGGTTGTTGACTTCGAACATTTTACCTCTTACTGCTTTTGGGTTTTAATCCTGCCAGGGACTTAGGATTCTTCCAGTGAGAAAGCTATCCAGCTAGTATTAGAAACATCAGTGGATTTACTAAGACATACAGAGGGACACTCAATGTCTTCATCAGTATTAAAGCTGAAAAATTGTTGAATGACCAGAGTGACTTAAGACCCAACCAAAAAGATTTTTTTTAAAAGTAGAATATTGTAATCTAGATATTATTACATTTCATTACAACAAGTTTTTTGTTTTCCTACATGCTTGTCCAAATTTGATATCCAAATTTATTTCAAGACTTTCACATTACAGAACAACAAGGATGTACTGGAGCACAAAAGATGCAAGGCGAAGGTGTGTGTACACATGTCGTATTGTTGAAGTCCGACCAGAAGCACTGAAGTCACCAACTATTACCATCAAAGACATGAGAATCGTACATGATCAGAATCATCCTGACTTTATACCGTTATCAAATCTGGATCTCACTGGCATCAATACTGTTTCTGAGCAAGAAAATCTATCTATTTTAGGAACAGATTCTGAAAACCCGTTAGTGGATTTAACGTCTGAAACTGCAGATATAACTGCTAATACTGCAGATATCACTGCTGACTCAGCAGATATTACTTCGTATACTGCTCACACTGTTTCAGAATCTGCTGAAGAACGAACGATGGAAATAAGTTACAACAAATCAGAGTTATCTTTGAATCAAAAGACTGATGCTAATTGCTGTAAAAGAAAAGATGAAATTACAAAGAGAAGGGCAAGTTTTAGTGGTAGACCATCTGATAATGCTGTAATAAAGGGCTCGGACAAGTTGAGTATGTCATGGCCAATAGGCAGTATGAAATCTTGTAATGAAAATTTAAAGCAAGCAAACTTAAGCTTTTTGTCACCTAACACATTGAAAATGTTAAACATTAAGGATCCAAGCAAATACATTAAACCTGTGCAAAATAATGAGAATACAAAAGAGGATGAGGAAGAATTTAGTTTGCTTAAAGTAGCAAATAGATTAAACAAAGCAGCTGCAAATAGTTCTAGACGTAATAGTGAGGAGAGACGGTCTGAAGGAAACTCTCCATTACCTTTAAGATCTAACTCAAGGTCACCTTCAGTGGAGAGAGGATGCTCACCAATGCCAACTAGAACATTTTCACCTATTGTTGGTTTAAGACAGAGGTCCCAGTCTGTTGACCGATTTCCTGAAATTAAACCATCGTTAAATCTTCATACAAAATTCTCCTCAATGCTTGAAAGTCTCCCAGAAAAACCATTTTCTCCACCATCGAGAATGCTTTCTAGATCAAAGTCATTATCAGTAGAAAAAGAGACATTATTATTCAAACCTTCATCTAACACTTCTTGTATTTCCTCAAATGAGCCATTTCTGCCAGCAGGTAATGATGAATCACCACAGTGTTCAAGAAGGGGAAGGTCTGTGTCTGATCCTTTGGAAAACATGCCTGAACCAATCAGTTTCTCGTCTCCACTTGTTCGAACAACAGATATGGTTCAAAAGAAGTTTGATTTATCTAACTTGAGTACAGGTAGTGAGGGAAGTAAGAAATTAGAAAGTTGTTTATTTAGCATCACAACATCATTAGAAACCGAAAGTTCTGTTACTGGAAGCACTAATACAGAGGATAATGTACCAAGAGAAATAGCTGAAACAGATACTGAAACATCTGACATGATAACAGAAAATGAGGTTATTGATATAAGTCAGAATATTGATACTGATGAAGAAACTACTGAAACTATTGTTGTAATGACTGAAAGCGGAGAGAGTTTAAGTGAAGAAGATGCAATCAAAATTGTTAAAGATATGATTGAACAAAGAAATTCATCGTTACAAACTGAATATGTGGATCCTAATACTGTTACAGAAGACGATAACAATCCTGAACCTGAAAGTAACCATGTTCACCCCCATGAGAATCAAAGTGAACAAAATGGATGTACAGAGAACAAAAGGGATGAATCAGGAATTGTGAAAGAGGATAATTCAGATAGTCCATTTATTCCTCAAATTGAAAATGAAAGTGTAGTGAATAAGAGAGTGAGAAGAAATACTAATGATAAGAAAGTAGATAATACTGAAGAGAAAAATGATAGTGAAGAAAACAGGTTACAATGTAATGATGATAATGACATTCTTGATATCACAGACAAGGTTGAATGTGATTCAAATGATGGAAAACAATTAGCTAGGAAGAATTGTGAACAACTAGAAGCAGTCACACTGGACATTGTGTCTGACACAGATAGTGATATTATTGATATAACTGATTCAGTTGTAAATGCAGGTAAAGCTAGGGTGGAACAAGATGAATTTGAATCTGATGGAAATACATGTAAAACAACTGAAGTAGAGTCCCAAGACAATGCAGAATCAATAGTTAATGAGAATAAAATGAAAAGAATAGTTTATGATTTAGATGAATCAATTGATAGTGATATTGAAATACTTGATGATTTAAGTACAACAAAGGAGGATGAAAACTATGCTGGTAATATGAATAGTGAAACTGTGAATAATCTTGATAATGAAAGTAATGAACAAGACAATTATGAAATGGAGGATATAGAAAAGGTAGATTTGGTGTCAACAGAATTTAGTAATAATGTAAAACAGTCAGATAATTCTAATAAAGTGCATGTGGGTGAGTCAGATAACAAAACATGTGGAAAAGATGATGAGATTGATGGAGATTCTGTAAAATCAGTTACTCAGAATGTTGAAAGTGTTTCAAAACAGATTATCACATCATTATCTAGTGAGATTGACATTGAAAAGAAAGATAGAGATAATTCAGGGATGTCTAATAATAAGAAACATATTGATTATGATTCCCAATGTCATAGGAAAGATACTGAATGGGAAAATGAGAACTTGCAGCAGTGTGAGAAAGCTATAGTTCTAGAAGATGATAAAATAATGGAAACAGAGAATAGTGATGAAAACTTGGATTCTTCAAAAGAGGAGGTTTTGAGAGGGTTGGGGCTAGGTACTTTTGATGAGGTTGAAAAGCTGAAAAATTCACCTCAGAAATCACCATCTTTACCAATGTTGACTTTTGAAAGTAAGAAAAAATGTTCCAAAAAGATACCTGTGAAATCATACCCACTAAGGAAAAATATTACTTCACCATCAAAGATACAAGAGAAAAATGATGCTAAGTTAAAATTAAGGAACACTAGTAAAGACGAAATTGATGGGTCAAGGGATACAAGTGAAAGTAGCACAATTGAAAGTGGCAAAAACATTATAGAGTTTGATCAAAATCTGAGGAAAGAACTTTCACCAGAATTACCAGTGTTAGATCCTATTGCCAAAAAAATAAAAGAAGAAAGCATAGCTAAAAGCTGTCCTGAAGATAAAGGCCCATTTAAATGTTCAAAATGTCGTAGACAGTACAGGACAGAGACAAGTTACTTAGTTCACATTGAAAATTGTAATTTCCTTGTTAGTTCAAGTGATGATGAAGATATTAATCAAGATGATGAAGACAGTACATCTAAAACTGAAGGGAAAAGAAATACAAGATCTAGAGTAAAGAAAACAAATGAAGAGTGTAGTCAGAAAAGAGAAAGCATATGTAGCTCAGATGACAATACTGACAATAAAAGAACTACCTTACGAAGAAGCACTCAATTCCAGAGAGTTGCCATAGAGGTTGCTGAGAAACGGCAGCAAGAAGAAGAAATCCCAAAACGTGGACGAGGAAGACCACCTCTGAAACATAAAGATAGTTTAGAATCTGACAAAGAAAAGCAGCTGAGAGAACATAAGATCAAGGAGAAATTCAGTAGTATGTCTGATGAGGCTGATGTAGCGGAAAGTACAGAAATACCTGTCAAAAAAGGCAGAGGTAGACCAAGGAAAAGTGAAATTGTATTAAGGAATATGGATGGTGTCTCAGCAGATATTGAATTTGAAGAAGAAAAAGTTTCAGTTAGAGAATCAAGAAGGAAATCTCGGGAGACTAAAATCCTTGAAAATTTATCTCAAAGCAGTGATTCTGAACAAGAAGAAAAACATGCTCATACAAATCTTGTTAAAAGGAAAAGAGGTAGACCAAGGAAAATTGATATCAATCCTGAAGAAGGAAAACAAAACAATTCTGATGGAGAGCCACAAGTTGCTAAAAGAAAACTAAGACATGAAATAAGCAAAAGTGTGGACTCGCATTCTGTAAAAGAAGATGATCATGATAATATGATAGTTAAGTGTGCCGACTTTCAGAAAGTAAAAGATGATCTAAAATCTCAGATTGACAATATAAGGAAAAATCGTTATAGACCTGCTAAAATGGTTCATATGAAAACCAGGAATAAAACTATTCGTATATATGTGAAAGACAGAAAGAAATTAAGGGATGGAAACAACAAATTTGGACTTAAATCTGTTTCAGTAAGATTGCACAAGTCTGACTGCTTAAATAAAAAGAAAGAACTAAACAAAGCAGAAGAAAATGAGAAATCAATGGATGTTGATAAAGATATATTAAGTGAAAATAAGTGTATGTCAGATACTTTTAAAACAAAAGAAGAAAACCAAGAAAGTAAACTTAATGAACACTCAATTCAGGATGATGATGATAAAGTAAAACACGATCTTGCTACAACTGATGGTATTGACCAAGAGAACCAAACAGATTCAGCCGTGTTCCAAAACCAAGAGAGCTCTGAAGAAGATGGGGATATACTAGATGAACTGACTGGTTTGATAATTGACAAGAAAACTGGTGAGACTATTAGAAGTCCTACACAACATACACAACACAATGAACTGAATGATAATGAAACAGATGAAATGAATAAAGGAAATGAGAGTGAAGATACAATGAATGATGCCAGTGAAGAAATAGATAAAGATCAAGGATCTAAAGATGTTTTTAGGTTCAATAGTCCAGAAGCTAAAGAGAAAAAGTTTGATGAAATTGATAATTGTATGGAAGTGGAGGAAGTTGAAAAGGAGAAAAGTACTGACAATATAAATAGTGAAACAATGAAAAGTCCTGCTCAGAATACACATGCTGTAAATGAAGTTAAAATTGAAAATGCACAGGGTGCAACAAAGTCAATGGAATTTAAGGATTTCTCTGAAAATTTACCTAGCACTGTTTTAAAGTTGTTAAAAGATGGACACAAGGTTGTTATTAAAAATCCCAAGCTGAACAAGTGTTTCATGTGGCAAAAAACAGCAGATGGCTACATTGGCAAACCATTTAATAAGGATCTTGCAAAGAGTCCCCCAGTAAGTGAAAAACCAGATAAAAGTATAATACTGCCTAATGTTAGTAGAGTGAATAATGTTGCTACTAATTCTGTGGAAAAAGATTTGCAGGGTTCTATTACAAAAATACAATCTGCTTCTGATATCTTACAGGAAAGGAAAAAATTACAGACACAAATGCATGAAAAACAAACGGTTGAAGCAACAGCAGTAGGTCATTGTAAAGAAAACACGAAAGAAGAACCAGATCTGATTAAAAGAAAGGCAAAATTTGTTGTAGAAAACATTGAAAGACTTATTGAATCAAACTTGAAAGCAAAAGCTAGATACCCCGCTCCTGAAAAACTGAGAAAAGGTTCTGCAGAATATGTTGGAGGTATATTGATTTCAACTCCAAACTCGGTGTCTGTCGATAAAGTTAAAGAGACTATTCAAAATACAGCACCATTAGCTGCCAATGTGTTACAAAATACACTAATTCAAAATAAGGTGTTTAATGACTACCAAGCTAGTGTTCAGCATGTACAGAATAATTTCATGAGTTCAGCTGTCCAGCCAGCTGTACAATCAGCAGTCCCTGTAGTATCACATCCTCTTATACAGCAGCAGCTACAGTCTGGTAATGTGGGAATGTATGTGCAGACTGATTTACAAACTATCCCCCAGACTGGTCTACAAACATTTCAACAAGTCAGTCCTCAGCAGACAATCTCCCCAGCTGGATACAGTAATATTCCTATGAGTAATATGCAGTCCCTATCTCCCGTGAATCAGCAGTACACAGCACAGTTGGTACCATCCCAGGTCATACAACAGACATACCAACCGGTCCAGGTGCAGCAGGTTCAGCAGATGTCTTCCCTAGAGATGGGCATGCTTAATATCCCGATGATGACGTCTGTCGGATTCTCTAATGCACAACTCGTTCAAGCTATTAATACAATGAATCCAATTGCATCTCAGCAGTTTTTGAGCACGAATGCTCCATCACCGTTAATAGTGAATCCGCAGATATCGCAATCTGTTCTAAGTGCTCATTCACCGCAGGCTTTAATGAATCAGTATGTGAATCAACCTATGCTTAGTCCACAGCCAGCACAGTCTGTGATGAATCAGTTTGTTTCTCAAGCACAGTCATTGGTTAATCAAATCTCGCCACAGTCTCAGGTAGCCAATGGCAATCAATTTAGTTCACAGGTACCAGCAAGTCAGTCTTTCGTTCATCAACTCCCATCTCATCTAACAGTTTCGCAAAACGCAACTGGTCAGCATTCTACATCAAATGTGTCATACTTGAAACCCCGAATTATTTACAATCAAACTCAAATTGTTAATAAACTGTCGGGGAATGATGCAGCCTACCAAAAAAGTTCAACAAGAAATGTACACAACACTGGACAAAAACGATTAATAAAAACCCATACATATTCAATATTAAAGCAAAAGTTAGAATCACAACAAGAAGCTGGAAAGAATGAAACAGAAGTTGTTAAGAAAGTACAGTACTTTAATGTGAAACCAGGACTTGGTGGTGGATCGAGCAGTTTAATGGAGAAGATGAATACCTACCTTGCCTTAAAGCAACAGGTTTCTTCCGAGCCACACTCCTCTCTTAAACATAAAAATACTTCACAGATACCTGAAGTGGTAAAATGTTTGGACAACAATGGTGTAATTCAAATGAGATTGGAACCAAAAGATTCTGGGTCACCGAAAAAGCAAAAAATTAAGAAAAAGTTGAAAGGGAAGGCAAAGTTGAAGAAGGAGTTGTCACCAAGGAAATGGAGAAGGCCATCCTTGAAAAAGAATCCTAATTCAAATGTTACAAGTGGCATAGCACTTCCTCATAAACCAGGTTTGTTGATTATTTGAATTATGCAATATTGTTTAATTGAATATACCCATGTGACCAATGCAGTCCAAGATCAGCTGCGCCATCTGAATCCCAATATCATGGTCTGTAGTATATGCTATTCTATCAGTAAATATGACTTTGTCCTAGTTGAAAGATAGGCAAGTCCATTTAAGATGTTAGGCATTATAAGAAACAATTTGATAATTTAAAAAAGTGTTGAACATTTAAAAATATTAATTTAATATTTCTTGATTGTAATGAAAGCTTGATGCTTATTTGACCTTCGCTTATGTCCATCTGTCTGAACTTTACTAGTACTGATCAATGCTATTATGACTCGAGTAGGCTTTTGACCCACAATCCCTTGTTTGAGCTGCAGACTTGTCAAGTACTTGGACACCTCTCTTTTTAATTGAATGTTAACAATATATAGCCTATGTTATAGTTTTAATCGCGTACACACAAAATTTTAGGTACATATTTGACATTAATACTTCTAATGTAGATTAAACATTTGCCTGCCAGCATGATGAAAAACATTTTGTGTTTTTATTTGTTATTCAGATAAAGCAAGCCACCCTATGATTCATGGTCCAAAGGAAGTGACATCACTTCCTGTAGCTGCAGTAGAAGAGGAAGTGAGGGATGTGCCTCTGACTGCCTTCGATGACAATGATGGTAGACAATCTGGTCCAGGCGGCACGTGTCAAAATCTCGGACATCTTGAGTATGAGATCACCAGTGATGATGGCTTCACTTGTAGAAGTGATTCTCTTGATGGTAAGTTATCATACTTGTATACAAATTGTTTCGATTTAAATACATACAAGAAAGCCTACCCAAAGTCACTGATGGAATATAAATAGAAGTCTGACTTTCTTTAAAGTAGCTTGATAGTTTCCTTACACAGGTACAAAGCCCCTGAGGGGATTGAATCAAAATCTGGAGAGTGAAATCCACAGGGGCGAGGGGCATTTTATTAGAACTCTGCAGCTGCAAACACTTGGCAACTATGTATATGGGCTTGCTAAGCAATACAAATGAATATGTCCATGCTTACTTTAAAGGGACTTCGCTGAGGTCTTTTAAGATTTTATGTTTTTAGGCCTCAGTGAGAGGTGCCTGTAAAAACTTCTCTTTTGTATTAAATTGATTCAAGCTAGATTTATCAGAGATGTCACCAAAATAAGATATTTTCAAATAATTCAAAATTATCATGAATTCCTATAGTAGATGGAAAAAGAATAGTAATCTACTCATGGGTAGATAATTCTGAACAGTTTAAAGTACAGTCTAACTTGCCCATGCGACCACGTGTATTAAGCGACTTTTGTCTTAAACGACCACTTTAAATGCCCCCCGATCATTTTCCCTCTATATCTTTAATGTATTAAGCGACTTTTGCTCAACGCGACCAGCGACCGCTAATTAGTCACCTAATTGAGATCAATCTTTTCATTAAACGACCACTTTTACCTGTCAAGTAGTTGTGTTTTTAGAGAACGCCACCTCGTAATGTCACAAGTGTCTACAATCAAAACACAATAAATAAACGTGTGAAAAACTCACACACCGTTTTAGCGTATGCAAATGAAGTTAAGTATACGCTTGACGTGTATTATCCAATAATATCGGATAAACAATGCAACGCTCCGCCCCTACTGAGATGGTGTATACGCTTCGCTTGTTGACATTTAGACTGCATCGAATTGACCTTGAACTTGATCAGCAATTAAATTAATCGTAACAATTAGATGTAGTTTGTTTATTTCAAATGAAAAAATGCACAACAAAATACATCATCACTAATAGCGTTTTCGTGTTGGAGACAAGGAAAAACAATGGAGAAGTTAAAAAATTCTGGAAAAAATGTCAAACATGTACGTAATGGATCAAAACTGTTTTGTCAATAAATATCAGAAATTTATTTTTTACATTTGCATCCATTTAGGTTAACGGAGCGTACTAATTATTCATAATTTATATAAAAATGAAGTTGAAAAACATTCCTATCGCATAAGAAAGGTGTCATTTATAAATTTTGACTTTAACATCATGCTGTCTTAAGAGACCGTTTCATTTAGCGACCGTTTTGGGTGTTTCCCTTGCGCGGTCACTTAATACATGTTTGACTGTATAGTATAAAGAAATTGGTTTTGATTTATTGCAGGAGCATGGAAACAAGTAACAGAGAAAGTACAAGATGCTCGTACAGCCAGTAGACTGAAACATCTCTCCTATGCTGGTAAGAGATAACTCTACCAATTAACACAGCACCTCACAAGAGGGGAAAATTGTAGTGTTTGTAAAAAAATCTTACCATTAAATGTTTGATAAACAGATAAATTTTATCAAATTAGTTCTAGGAAGTCTTTGTTATCAGGATCTTTCTCAAATCAAGTATTTTTCCATTTTTGTTGTTATTCATTTAGGAAAATAAAGTGTATGTCTTTCACAAAAATGTTTTGTATATGCATTTCTTCTTGTTGAAAATAGGGTTTTGTGCTAATAAAATTCCTTTTAAAGAAATTTAATTGAACAGGGGCAGAATGATGATTGAAGTCACCTGCTAAAGAAGAATGCAATTCAAGATCTATATTGTACCTGTATGCATTTCTGTTTCTATTTTAAGGATTGACAGGTGTACAGATGTTTGGGTTAAGTCACCCCAGTGTTGTTTATCTGGTAGAGCAACTATATGGAGCTAGCTACTGTCGCAGATACAAGTTCAAGTATCACCGTCATGAAATGGTGGAGAGGGAACTGGTAAGTTCAGATATATATATATATATTACACCTAAGTTTTATTTCGACTATTTGGAAGATGTGTATGTTGACCAGACTGTTTACTGTTTGTAGCTCAAATTTTATATTTCTATATGAAATACTTTGAACTTTGAATGGATTGTTTCAGATTTAAATCGGGGAATAAAGTCTTCAGGTTAAAGGTTAACAGAGGTTTTTTATGCCCCCACAGAGTGGGAGCATATAGCGTTGCACTTGTCTGTCCGAGTGTCCGTCTGTCCGGAAGTCCGTCCGTACGTCCGTCCGTACGTCCCGAAATCTTGTGAACGCAACTCCTCTTAAACCGAATGGCAGATTTTGCTTAAACTTCCAGGGATGAAAACCTTAATGTGTAGATGATAATAAAGGAAGGCATTTTCGCTGCAACCAAATTTAACAGAATTATGGCCCTTTGTTGATTTTTTCACTATATACTATGTAGAAATTTTGTGAACGCAACTCCTCTTAAACCGGATGGCAGATTTTGCTTAAACTTCCAGGGATGAACAACCTTAATGTGTAGATGGTAGTAAAGGAAGGAATTTTTGCTGCGACCAAATTTAAGAGAATTATGGCCCTTTGTTGATTTTTTCACTATATACCATATAGAAATTTTGTGAACGCAACTCCTCTTAAACCAGATGGCAGATTTTGCTTAAACTTCCAGGGATGAACAACCTTAATGTGTAGATGGAAGTAAAGGAAGGAATTTTTGCTGCGACCAAATTTAAGAGAATTATGGCCCTTTGTTGATTTTTTCACTATATACCATATATATGTTGTCAGTGGGGGCATCCGTGTCCTTTGGACACAGTTCTAGTGTTGTTATGAGACAGATTCTGTTACTATATTACAAAATAAACAGACAAGCCACACAAACACAGACATTCAGTTATTATTTATTGCATACGTTTGGGCTATATGCCTTCATCAGTGCAAGTTTTAAGATCATTCTAGGCTGTTTGTGAAGGAAATTGAAATCTTGTTTATTCTATTTTCATGTTTGAAATTTGCGTCATAAATTTTTGCACAGCTATTATCATCTTGTTGATAAAACATTTAATCTCTGTGCATAGTATTGTTTCTGCAATAAACTTTCTTTATTACATTAATTTGTGATGTTAAAAATCAAATTGAGCCATTCTATTTTAATGAAAACTGCCTTGTTAATTCATAAAAATATTTTTTTTAATTTTATAGGAATTAGTGAATCCCTCTGGTTGTATAAGAACGGAGCCGTTCAGTGGCCGCAATCCGACAGATATGTTCAGTTTCCTGATGTCACGGTACAGAACATTACCGGAATATTGTGGTAGAGACATTAACGAAGAAATAGCCATGAAATCTTCACGAAGAGCAACAAGCATGGATCTACCAATGGCAATGAGGTTTAGAAAGTTAAAGGGCTTCTCGAAGGAGTGCGTTGGTGTATACAGGTAGTTTGATTTAAATGATATATAGCCATGCATGGCTTGTCTATAATGTTTTATTATATACACATAAGTTAAATTATGAAAAATGTCATTCTCATCTAAAATGCCTATACCCGACAAGTCTTCTTTGTTTCACACTTTGCACTGCTGAAGTTAGATTACTGAACTACAGTAGATGTAGTTTTTGTTCGTTAATTGGTTAATGCAATTTAACATTTAAGTGAGTTATTCACAGAATTCAGTATGATTTAGATTTTGTTTAATTCTCGTTTTAATAAATATATACAGATCAACCATACATGGGCGTGGCTTATTTTGTAAGAGAAGTATAGACGCAGGGGAGATGATTATTGAGTATGCAGGGGAGGTAATCAGGAACAGTATGACCGACATACGAGAAAAATACTATGAGAGCAAGGTAGGTACACAAATTTTTATATACATTTTAATGCGCTTAAAAATTTTTGTATTGAATATATATTGCTGATTTATCTTTGTTTTCTTCCATACTTCTGCTCCAATTAAAATCTCTTAAACTTTGAAGGTATGTTCCTGTGTGTTTCCAAATTCAAAGCATGGCAAATTTATGAGGTTAATATTAGAAACAAACCCATGTTTGATTTTATCATTATGCTATTAGTTAATATTTGGCTAATGAAAATGACTTTCTGTGTTACCAACAGGGAATAGGGTGTTACATGTTCCGTATAGATGACACCGATGTTGTGGATGCTACAATGAAAGGAAGTGCTGCCAGATTTATCAACCATTCTTGTGATGTAAGACAATTTATGCATGATATTCTTATAACATTATCTATAAATAAAATAAGTGAAGGGTTTAATTTTCTAATAATGTCTACATTTACTTGCGGTATCGATCATGTTAGTACATTCTAAAGTTAATTTATCGAACATACATTTACTTACCTGATCATAGTGTGAATTGCTTTTGGATACATTAATCTGAATGGTATTTTTCATCTCTAAACTGCCTGATAGAAGGTTTGTTTTGGTTCTATTCAGACATTTCATGCCTGGTATAATGCAGAGTGGGGTATATAAAGCTGGAAACCTTGTGTAATGACTTTAAAGCATCATCTGTTTAGCTAAATAGATTAAGCGTTGGACTGTGAATCTGGTGATCCAGGTTCGATTCACTGATGATGCAGGTCACTTTCATTGTGATTGATCATTAAATCCTTTTTACGGCCATTCATACTGTACCTATGCTGTGGCATGTGTATAGAAAGTATCAGTTCCTTGCAAAAGTGAAGGCAACTTGCAACTTTTGGTACAAATTTTTAGAGTTTTCTTTTTCGTATTTCAGCCTAATTGTTACTCTAAGGTGATAACTGTTGACAACAGAAAACACATTGTGATATTTGCCATGAGGAAGTAAGTACAGTTTACAGTGTTACTTTTGGTAGTAAATTTTTAACTTGTAATGAATAAAATAGCAGAATTTCACAGAAAAAGATAACAGATTTTGGACTAATTTTTAGCTTGTCTGTTTGGAAGTAATTTGAGCTATTATGATTGCTGCAGCGTCATTGTCATGTATAACTTTAATGTGGCATATTATTCAAACATTTTAAAAGGTATCAAAATAAAACTTGAAATGCTAGCTTATCATGACAAAGTACAGATGTTAGACAAGGGGTATAATTCTTTAAGCAATATTTAAAGAGTTCTGCCTTCTTTTTAACTTAGATTTTTTTACAGACAAGTGTTAACACTGCATGTATGGTCTATTAGTGAATCTTTGACCCAATATGAGGGAAACTAAGAATGTATAATTTACTGTAGTATTCAACATATCACATATCAACAGAATCAGGACGTTCTATAGTCCTCTTTCCTATATTTCAGAATTTTACGTGGAGAGGAGCTGACATACGACTATAAATTTCCTATTGAGGAGATCAAGATACCTTGTACATGTGGTGCTAAACGATGTAGAAGATATCTCAACTAGATGTGACATAATTCCACTCTCGGAATACGACAAAATTCCACTATTGGAATACCACTTAACCTGTTATATTTCTAAAATGGATTTGTCCAGTTTCCAGTTTTAGAAGCGGTTTGTTATTGATGTAAGAAACATGATGATGGAAATTTCAAATTGATAAGCCAACAGTATAGATAGAGCTTGGTCACAGTATAGACTGCACAGCAGTGCAGGCTAGGCTGGCTCTATACTGTGATAAAGTCTAACCACTATCAGTTTGTGCAGGATATAGGCTATCTATGCCTTATTACACAAATGATAAGTAAGAAAGATTTGAAGAAAAGTATTTCAGAGGATTTTATTTATTTCACAACCAGACTTTGTAATGAAATTTAGAGCCAGTCTGATTTTGGTTTATACAGGTGACAATAAAGATGCTCCAGTTGAACTGTCAAGCCACCAGATCAAGCGTTGCTATGGAGATACATTTATATAATTACTACAAATGAAATTCGTACATCTGTTTGCAACTTGAATAAAAATACCAATGATTGGGAGAGAGAGGAAAAAAAAAACTAGAATCAAATCATTGATATGAAAAATCAGGTCTGTTTTGAAAATCAGCTTTTTTTACGCCAGTCCTTCATTTGGGTAGCAGCTATTAGAGTGAAAGAAACGAAATTTAGGTTAAAAAAAATACAAAATTTTTTTTATTTGTATATTGAACACTTTCTGATATCTTGTCCAGAAGAATAAGTGACACGTTATTGAAATCAATATTTACAAAATATTATGTTGAATTCATTATACAGTGTTAAGTTTGCAGTTGAAGTTGAAACGATGAAATTGTGAATATACTGTTACAATTACGGTTTATCTTAATATCTGTGAGAAAATTATTTGTGATTTTTTTATAACATATGCAAAACTGTTAAATGTTTATTGAACAAGAACTTTTAGTTCCAAATGATTGTGTTCATCAATTTATGTTATGTGTTTGATACATACTTTGAAATATTGCATTTATAGTCATTTTGTACAAAAAAGAAAAAAAATTATTGTTGAAGGTTTCTGCAGCCAAAGCTCTATTAGTGTTTTTGATGCACTTTGCACACAGTCGGACGGGTCAATTTTTGTTTTGAGTCTATTGGTCAATTAACTTAGTTAAAGAAGAAATTGTTTAAATTTTTGATGATATTGTGGTTTTACGTTGAAAAATTTAAGTGTACATGTAGTCTTTTATATAAAGATTTTAATAGGTATCGTCATGAAACTTGGAGTACATGCTTATCATAACAAGGTACAATTGTGGCATGATTCTGAAAAACTACATTTTTGAAATTATGCCCCTTTTTAACTTTTTAGAAAATATTGTGTTCAAAATTGGCCATTGATAGTCTATGACAGATGTGCTTGTATTTAAAGGATGGCCTTATTGAAGAATGTATTAGTACAACAAGTAGATTTATTTCTGAAATAACGTGAACTATCCTCAGTTTATCTCGAGTCTTTCATGGCTATAGTTTTGTATAAATGGCGAACCTTCCTGCCAAATAATTTTATATTTTTTTTCATGGTAGATAACGGTCCAAACCTCTATGTGTATTACATGTATAAAATGGTGGCGTTGTGCAAAAATTTGTAATTTGATGTTGTTTTTTAAAAAAAGAGTATTACTTAATATAGGGCTATGAAGATACTTTATTTAATTGTAATTTAGTATGACAATTTAGTATGTTCTGTCAATTGAATCAGCAGACGGATTCAGCCTGGGGAATAATGGAAGTATTTATGTTAAGATGATCAAACCCTTATCTTTACTTAATGCTCTTGTGGTATGTGTGGGAATAATTCTTGGCTATTTTTGAATGCCCTTTATAAACCCTGCTTTGATGGGGTGTTTTAATGGAAAAAATTTTTAAAAATTTTGCTCCTTTTCCAATGCTCCTGCAGGGGGGGAACATTCAATAACCTTTTATAATAAAAAGCTTGTTTATTTCCAGTTAAAAAAATGGAACATAAGTTGTGATTATCTTTTTATAGTTATAATGTTTTTTTTTTTGGCACACTTTCCCGGTAATTGAAGATGTTAAATAATTTGATTTGTACACCTAACAATATTCTTATCCAATAAAACAAGTTTTGAATTTTTATGAAATCTGGAGACTTGCCACTTTAACAACTGTCAAACATGAAAGTAAAGTGCTGATGGGCATTTTTGTTTTAGAATTAAGATATTATTTCGATAAATCTCGTTTATGGGTGCTGTTACTGTAGTCATATAAATACCACCTTTGTGTGTTCTTATTTTTATTATGTTTGTGTCATTGTTTAAGTTTGTCCTGTTTAACTTTACATTTAGAGCATTTTCATTTGTACTTCCTATTATTTAATTTGCTATTTGATATTTTCCGTATTTTGTTTTTTGTTTTGTTTGTTTGTTTTTAGCTGGACTATTTGAGGAATAGGAAGTGCTGTTGTACTCATCGGCGTCAAAGCCGACATTAACGTCATACATCAGTTGAGTTTTTACTTGCAATTTGGTATTTCCAAAATTATAGACAAGAATGGGTTGAAACTTCCCACACTTCTCTGTGATTATCTTACAAAATGGACACAGGTCCCATAACTCTTTAGTTACCTTTCAACAGAGTTAAACCCATTTTTTTACTGTCCAGCACTAAGAATAGTCGAGTGCGCTGTTTAACAGACCGCTATTATTTTTGCTGATCTTAAATACTAACGATGTTGACCAAAACATGGTGTCATGATACAGAATAGGCATTTTCCACCCACTTTCCCCTAGAAAAAAGCTACATGTTTGTCTTTCCTGAAAAATTAGCAGTTAATCCTTTTGACAATGCCTTACATTAGTCTTGAACATAATTGGTATAAACCATGAAAAGGTTAATATGTTTTTCAATTTTTGATCTTTGTGTTAATTGAAATGAAAAGTTGTTTCGCTTTTTGTATTATGTAAGATAAATATGGGTATAATCATAAGGTTATGTAAAATAATGATTTTTTTTTTACATTAAATGAATTAACAGACAAATACTGTGTGTATTGTTTGTGTGTGTTTTGTTGTCATGGATAAATGTTGAAAATCATAAATTTATTTGTTAAAGTGACCTTACATTGAATGTTTCATATGCAAAACTTGTAAATATCATATCTATAACCTATTTAAGTAAGTTGTTATAAATATCAAAATTATCCCAACTCCTCACCCACCCATGTTGTTCAAAAAGGTTTGATTTGACCATCTTTGTACATACTGTAAATATATACATATATCTGTTATACATATTTTTGATTCTACTATATAAAAGGCAGCTGTTTCGTAATATGTTAATGATGAGCTTATGTTTTCTTATATAATAATGATTGACTGCTTATATGATACACTGTCTCTGTCACTGCAGTTTAAAAGTTTCTTAATCTAAAATCTCATTGCTTCAGTGGTAGAAATCATATCTGGATAGCTGATGAATTTCTTAAATGGACTTGTCCAGCTTACATTATTTGAAACTGTCCATTATCGTTTTTTTTTCTTTTTGGGGGGGGGGGGGATTTACAGAAAGATGAAAATGTCACAATCAAAATGAATAATTAACCAAATGTTAGCAACAATTATAATGATTTGCCTATTTCATTGGTAAAAAGATTTGCAAGGAAGCATACTTGTTCAATCTGAGCAGATTCTTTACTTTTAGCTTTTTCCATGTTAAAACTCTTTAACACTTAGACAATGATTTAAGTAGATGTAAGAATTTTTTTTATTATATTTAAATGTCTCTTGGGTAAAGTTTAACGTGTATGTTGTTTTATATTTAGGGAAATACATGTAAAATACGAATGTTGATTTTTTGTCAGACATACTGTTGAAAGCCTTCCAAGATTTTTGCAGTTATTGGAATGGTTATTTACATGTATTTAAGAACAATATTACTATCTATTACTTTGCTAAATTTGTGCAATGGTCCTGGTAAGGAATTGGAACAGTTCATTAAATGCTTAGGGGTTTTTATACAGAAAAATAAATATATTGGGTAAGCGTTATATTTGAGGAAGCTATCCAGCTAGCTTATGGAAGTTCTATTAATATGACTCCTTTCATGGATTATTTCAGACACGAAAGTCGTACCTGAGGTCTTCCTCCACCAGTAAATCTGGAAAGTCTCAATATGACAGTTATTATGTCAGTGTGACTAAAAATCCAACAAAACAAACAAAGTCAGTACTTTGATATTGAATCCCATTGAAACTTAGAAACTGAATAAGTCCATGCAGGTATGTATATTAAAGTATGTTTATATATATACCTGGTCCGTGATGGGGGGGGGGGAGCAATAACTTGCATGTTGATTTATATTCTGTATGAAATAATTACTTTGTATAATGTGTATATAATAGCTGTAAATGTGTGCATATTTCACTGTAAATATCTGAGCAGTGTGACCTCTCTAACATGTGTGATTCTACATAGATTAATAAAAAAATATTTATTTATGCAAAACTATTCTTGTTTTATGTAATTTTTGTGATTAAAATGAATGGCTATATTAAGAGTTAAGTATTAGTTAGAATTGTACATAATTAGTTAGATATACATGTAAGTTTAGTGGCTAAGTTTACAGTAGATTACATGTAGTTATAAGGTTAGAAGAATAGTATAAGTTTAGAGGTTTGGTTATAGGTTTAGATGGTGCGTTAAAGTTAAGAGGTTAGTTATAAGGTTTTAATTTAGGTTATTTAGAGTTTAGAGGGTTAGTTATGAGTAGTGATGTTCAGATTGTCGCAAGTCGCCGATAATCAGTTACTGTTATGTAAAACGACAATAATCGATTCACAAAAATTTGTTCTGCGACGTCGGCGAAAATGTTTAAAGTATCAAAGGGAATTAATTCTGACGGTAATTTTCTATAAGGAACACTTCGCTGTCGCAAAAAATCACTCAGAGACAATTTGGAGTTGAACAGGATCAATAAGTGATGCAAACAAGAGTAATATAATGTGATGTGAATGGTATTATTTGACATCCATTGAAAATAAAATCTATTTCGGTTGGTTATAGGGTAGTTATAAGGATTTGAAGGTTGGTTATAGGGTAGTTATAAGGTTTGAGGATTAGTTATAAGGTTTAGATGATAGCTTTATTTTTAAGGTTTAAAGGGTTAGCTATAAGATTAGATTTAGTAAGGAGATAAGAAGTTTAGAGGAATAGTTACACATGTCAGTTCAGATGTTTGGTTATAAATTTGGAGTATAAATGAAAAATTGTTCATTTGTCATGTGCTTATTCAAAGGTACTTTTGAATAACAGTTCATTTATGTTGAATTCTTTTTATGCCCCCACAATGTGGGAGCATATAGCGTTGCACTTGTCCGTCCGTCCGTCAGTCCGTCCGTACGTCCCGAAATCTTGTGAACGCAACTCCTCTTAAACCGGATGGCAGATTTTGCTTAAACTTACAGGGATGAACAACCTTAATGTGTAGATGGTAGTAAAGGAAGGAATTTTTGCTGCGACCAAATTTAACAGAATTATGGCCCTTTGTTGATTTTTTCACTAGATACTATGTAGAAATTTTGTGAACGCAACTCCTCTTAAACCGGATGGCAGATTTTGCTTAAACTTACAGGGATGAACAACCTTAAGGTGTAGATGGTAGTAAAGGAAGGAATTTTTGCTGCGACCAAATTTAACAGAATTATGGCCCTTTGTTGATTTTTTCACTATATTCTATGTAGAAATTTTGTGAACGCAACTCCTCTTAAACCGGATATCAGATTTTGCTTAAACTTACAGGGATGAACAACCTTAAGGTGTAGATGGTAGTAAAGGAAGGAATTTTTGCTGCGACCAAATTTTACAGAATTATGGCCCTTTGTTGATTTTTTCACTATATACTATGTAGAAATTTTGTGAATGCAACTCCTCTTAAACCGGATGGCAGATTTTGCTTAAACTTCAAGGGATGAACAACCTTAATGTGTAGATGGTAGTAAAGGAAGGAATTTTTGCTGCGACCAAATTTAACAGAATTATGGCCCTTTGTTGATTTTTTCACTCTATTATTATAACTATGTAGAAATTTTGTGAACGCAACTCCTCTTAAACCGGATGGCAGATTTTGCTTAAACTTACAGGGATGAACAACCTTAAGGTGTAGATGGTAGTAAAGGAAGGAATTTTTGCTGCGACCAAATTTTACAGAATTATGGCCCTTTGTTGATTTTTTCACTATATACTATGTAGAAATTTTGTGAATGCAACTCCTCTTAAACCGGATGGCAGATTTTGCTTAAACTTCCAGGGATGAACAACGTTAATGTGTAGATGGTAGTAAAGGAAGGAATTTTTGCTGCAACCAAATTTAACAGAATTATGGCGCTTTGTTGATTTTTTCATTATATACTATGTAGAAATTTTGTGAACGCAACTCCTCTTAAACCGGATGGCAGATTTTGCTTAAACTTCCAGGGATTAACAACCTTAATGTGTAGATCGTAGTAAAGGAAGGATTTTTTGCTGCGACCAAATTTAACAGAATTATGGCCCTTTGTTGATTTTTAGTTTTCAACTTGTGGCACATGTATTTTAAAAAAATATTTGACCTAGAGTCATAAGATTGACATGACAGAACAGTGGCGTGTGGGGGCATCAGTGTCCTATGGACACATTTCTAGTTTCAAATAGAACTGTGATCTTTAATTCCTTTCTGAGTGATATTTTTTGTCGACTGTTGATGCTGCTATTTCTCTAAGATTTTAGGAAATAAAGCAGACAGTTTTATGCTTTGATTACTTGTAATATCAATAAATAGCTGTTCCTCAAAAAAAATACCTTCAAATATTTCATATACATTACCCATGATAATGACTGGCATTTTAACATTGTATATTGATCTTGAGCCAACAGATTCTACCCATGTGCCTAGTGCAGACCAAAATCAGCTGGACACATCTATGCCGACTGAGATCATGGTCTGCACAGTTTGCAATTCAGTCAGTGTATGTCTCAATTTCTCCTGAAAATGATGTATAGTTCTTTCCAGATTGAAAACCGGAGGAGTCGATTTAAGATACTTAGTAATTAAGCGTGGTAAGGGTTAAATAACATGAGGTACAACACGTTATATTGCACTTTATTTGATCAGGAAATTTGGTACAAATTAAATAATTTCCAACATTAACAACAACAACACAACTTGAACCCAATCTACAGAAAAAGTGTTCTTATATTAAGTTAATAACATTAAATGCCTAATATGTAATATCAGAAATGTATCCACAGCTCGTAAAACTATAAATAAAAAGCTACAGAAAAGCATTTTCAATTTCTCACCGAAATATGTTTTTGATTACAAATAAGAAATATTTCTTTAGTAGAAAAAAGAGACTTGACAATATTATGGCTTTGAATTGCTAGTTACGGGTGTAAATGTTAAGATTAAAATGTGATTGAATTTTAATTTATATGTATAGCAAAAGCTTAGAATGACCCTGTGTTAATTGATGGATGTAAATGAGAAGCAAATAAAAGCAGACTGCCAGTTCAAGACTGGATTCATTCATGTTTTCAATGATGCCAGATGACCGACGAACAAGATGAATACTTTGAAAATCTTTATATAATTACATGTATCATAAAGTAAGTTTATACCATAACCCTCTCTTACTGACTTTGGTTAATTAAGCTTTAAACTGATAATATTGGGTCATGCAACCTGTCAAAAATATTTCCATTTAACTTGTCAAAAATCTTTCTATTTTTAACTTATAATGTACAACCAAAATAAACTTAAAATTATCATTATTTTCATACAAAGCTTTCCATATACAGTTCTCTCTGACCAGCAATTAAATCTGCATTCATTATAACCCATCCTCATCAATACCTAGTACTCCTTGAATCAATATAATAAGTTATGCCCCCTGTCCCTACCCATTGCATCATTGTTTTAATAAATCAAAAGTGGAAGGTAATTTTCATCATGGGAAACAAAGTAAATAAGTTAAAACTTCACACATTTGTAGACTACATAGAATATCTGTCCAAGAGCACATTCTTCAATAACATAAATGAGGTAACAAAAATCAAGCTACATACATACAAATGTATTTTGATCCTGAAAAATCAATTATAATTTGTATTTTAATTAAGTATGCATAGATATTTTTCAGCATTGTAAAAACAATATAAAGTCAGACCCATTAAGGAGGTAATTTATAACTTAAGCATTTGATAACTTGTTTTAAAACTTATAAATATATAGGGTAACTTCCAGCGCCAAAGTAATTCATAGAAATTCCTGTAAATCTGGCGCTTTTCTGAATTTTTATTTTATTTTTTTATTTCAATTCATTGTGGTATCTGCTTGAAATTTAAAATGGTTAAATAAATAACTATAAATAAAGAAAATGAAATTATTATAAACAAAAAAATTACTTTAATTTAATTACAATTTAGAAATAAATTAAAATTTATATTATAGTATAAAATCGCAACCATGACAGTGAAGCGGTTCATGCCCAGTACATCTGGATGTCAAATTGATTGTATACTTACATGGTGCTTCAATTTCATTTCAACAAAAGATAATTATATTAAAAAACAGAAATCTCTAATTTCAAGACTAATAGAATCTCTAAATAAATACATATTTTTTGTAGTAAATTTCATTTGAAGAAGAACAATCAAAGAAATCAGATTGAAAGAACATAGTAATCAAAGTTTAACATGGCTACAAACGGGGCAGTGTTTATATAAATCTATTTAAATAAATTAACATTTTAGAATGTACATCTGTATAATTATAATATATACATATATATTTAAATACAAAAACAACGGTAAATTTCATTTTTTTTTTCCAGTCCATAATTATTATTATTTTTTCCATAAATACAAACAGCAATAAAGAATGCCTTTACACATAAAAATTTTTTATTTTTGACCATTATTTCACTAATCATTCAAGAAAATTTTTTTACTTTCCCTTCATGTTTTTAAAAAGATTTGAGTCAAACTTTCCAGTTAACCCAAATTTCAAAATGCGAAATTCTTGCGAGTATTTTTGTTTCACTCATAAACGCACAACAATCAATATTTTCACCAATGCTAAGCATAAAATGCCTGTGCAAAATGAATAGCTGCTTTTCAAAAAGGCTTGTAGCTTTTCCATTTATCACCCTACTTTGGAAAATTGAAAGCTGTGATTCCTTGAATTGCTAACAGATAATCCCAAAGTAAAACAAATTTAGAACATTTATTCAGCATGAAAATAAGTACCAGTATAGTGTTGGGCCAACCAGCAAATTTGTGCAGACTGACCATTCTCTATAAATTGCTGGGTAATCAATCCAAGTATTTTCATACCTTATAATAGCCTTTGCATTACTAATGGATTGTTCCAACAGAACAAGTTTAATACATAAATTCAGCATGCCGAAAAAAAGAGTTAAATATTCATTCTTTCCCCCAGAGTTTCCAAGGCCAATGACACATGTAATTAACTACCACACAATGCACGTTAAGCTAAAAGGTTTCAAAATACTATACAATGTCAGGGGAAATGGGATAAAAAATTCAAGGTTAAATGAAAATCAAAAAATAATTGCAAGTGGGTTTCTAATTGCTACGCAATGTTAATATAACCCCCTTTGTACATAAGTGCGGTGGATTCAACTATAAAAAAAAATAAAAACATCTATTAACAAGACAGCCAACATACTCCCCCTTAACCTGCTAATTTTTTAAATGGGCTTGCCAGCTTCTGTTTTAGGACCTGTCCATTATCATTTTTGGGGGTATGAAGATATTTTTTTTTAAAATATTCAGCCAACAGCATAGAGCCTGGACAGACTGCATGGGTGTGCATGCTGGTGTGGCTCTATACTGGTGGCAAAGGTTAATCATTTTTGGTACCAGCAGGTCAAAGGTTCATCAATCTCTATGTGGAATGATGGCCAAATGAAAACATTCATACATCAAATAAACCAACGTGGAATGAATGTAAAATATTTTCACTGAAAGAGCTCTGAGTCCTACCCAAGCACATCTGATTAAAAGTAATGCACAGTTGCAATAGAAACTATACGATGTCTGTATGCATGTAGTTATCTATGCAAAAGCTCCAACAGAAATAAAGAACCAAGATTATAGTACAAATTAGCTGTACAATGAAAAAAAAACAACATTATAATATGTTAACATTTATGTCTTTTCCATTTGCATAAAACCTTGTATCTTGAAAAATAGACCAGAAATCAAACCTAATCAAGACCTTTTATGTCATTTTTTTTTCAGAAATCAGTAAAATGCAATTGCATGATTAAGAATTAAGTGTCAAACAATTCTAAATATTTCTTATCCTCAATTCCATTAATTAACCTTTATACAACGTATGCACTAGTTCTGATAGATATCAACTTGATTGCATCATCAGTATAAATTCAGGCTAGCCTCCTCACCCATGTAGTATCCTCACACCAGACTCTATATTTATAAGTTCTCATATTTTGATATTGACACCTATTCCAACAACAATGGACAGTCAAGGTAAAGTCCATTTTACAAATATAGGGTATGAAAAAGCTTAAACTTTCACTAAAGCAATATTTTCTGGGATAGGGGGATTTGAGTATTTTATGACAAAAACTGGGAAAGTTGTCAACAAATTCACTAACTACTTGTATGTTAATCACACTTTTCATGCATTCGAAAAAATTCAACACAACACGTCATCAGCTTTCCAAAGCATCTAAAACTTTCATAATCTGTTGTTTCACAATCTTGGTTGCCTCCCCTGCGGTCGGTATGACGCATCGGTCCCTATTGGTAATCTTAATCCCTTTCTCCTCGTTGGAACCGTATGAAAATGTTATCAAGTCCGGATGCCGCTTTTTAGATGTAATTTTAACAATTGTTCCCAGTGCACGACGGCTCTGAATGTATGCCATTCCTTTCTTCTTTGGTATTTCACGTAAAATATATAAGTGTGAGTCTGTGACAAGAATATGGCTGAAGTAAAAATCATTAAAAAACAATACATTATTAGAAGAATAAAACAAAAGTTTTACTGTAATTCCATTTAAAGCAGCATGCCTTTAGATTCATGCTAAATAATGTTATTTTTCATAAAAATTTTAATCCACGAACATTACCAAAAAAGTGTCCAATTATGCAAAAACAGCTCTTACTGCATTAGTCATGCAGTAGAAAAATGGTGATACTGCAAAATCAGGCATTAACCACAATTAATGCAATTCATTCAACAGCTTAATTGAAAGCCTTTAAAGGTGATAATCTCAACCTTGTGGAAGTCAAAAGAGAATTTCACCAGAAGTGGTTTCAAACCCACAACTTCCGAATTAGGGAGTCTGATGCTTTACCCCTACACCACTCTTCCTCCACTACAACCTGAACCACCCTTCATGTTTGACTTCAACTACTGATTCTTACTAGAACGTGTGTATAATTACAAAAATTCATCAGGGTTAGGGTTTGAAATATGATAAAAGATGCATGAACATCAGATTTACCTAGGATGAAGGAATCCATTATTATCAAGTTCTCTACACTGACATGAGTAGACAATGTCTGGTTTTTTCAGCCATGTTTCCAGACTAACTATCTCCCTCCTCTCATCATCAGACTGGTCCAGAAACTCTCCTTCATCACCTTAATTAAAGGGGGGATATATATTATACAACCATTAAAAAACACAGTTATCATACTGACAGGAAAATCTTACTTCTACAACAGTGTTCATAAAAGATATCATCTGATTTCATATACATCTCATATCTCAATATTTAATAATAATTGTTTTATATAGACATGATTGAAAAACTCCTTAGTCCAGATACCTTACTAAATTGAACAAAAAAATTGGTTTGGAAGCATTCTGGTATAAAAACAGCCAGTTCCTAAGTTTCACTGCATTTCAAAATAGGAATAACATTTCATTAATGAAATGATTTATCTATGTTAACCTTTAACCTACTGGACCTGAAAATGATTAGCCTTTGCCTCCAGTAAACTGAGTAAAGCGCCAGGCCATCCTACACTTCCAGGCAGTCTGACCGGGTTTAAAACTATTGGTAGCTCTAGATGTACAGTCAAAACTGCCCTATCGGCCACCTTTATAAAAGCGCCACCTGCCTAAGTGCGCCATCTCTGGACATCCCCAATGTAAATTTATATATATTTGCCACCCATTTTCATCCCCAGAAAGCCGAAATTACCAGATCAAACGGCCAGTACAAGAACGTTTGTCGCCATTTTGAATCCAATATTTTTTCTGTACCATACCGTTTTCGTACCGTTTTACATTAATTCTTACCAGTAGTCGGTAAATTTGTTTATAAGTTGGAAGCTATTTATTGTCGCAAATCAAAACGTTACTCGACAAATTTCTTCATTTGTATTGAGAACAACTTGTATTTAATTTCCTTTTGTATGAATAAACGTAATTGATATCTTTTCCTAAAGTTTACGGAGTTGAAAGAAATTAAATTGAATCAATAACCGAGCATAGTTAACTTTGTATGTGCGACGTTTTAACAATAATTATGCCTGTGAGATAATCACAGTTATATAAACAGGCATTCTATTTGTTGAATTGACCAAAACATTTATTTTAAATGGCCATAATATTTCTAAAACTGTTTGAAATGTTTAAAATGCACATTTTAACACTTTTTATCAATTACATGTATATGTTCTTCTTAACATTAGATTTTTAACATTACATATTAAATTCTATGGTTTAAATGTTTTATCTAAAAATAAAAAACGAAATCATTGCAAATCATGGTGTTTTACATCATATCTAAAAAATAGTTAAAAATAGTCACTTTTCCTAGCCAGAGTTCAGCCCTGGATAAGAGAGCCACCTGTATAAGAGAGACACTTTTACAAATCTCTTATACAGGTGGCTCTCTGGACATCCCCAATGTAAATTTATATATATTTGCCACCCATTTTCATCCCCAGAAAGCCGAAATTACCAGATCAAACGGCCAGTACAAGAACGTTTGTCGCCATTTTGAATCCAATATTTTTTCTGTACCATACCGTTTTCGTACCGTTTTACATTAATTCTTACCAGTAGTCGGTAAATTTGTTTATAAGTTGGAAGCTATTTATTGTCGCAAATCAAAACGTTACTCGGCAAATTTCTTCGTTTGTATTGAGAACAACTTGTTTTTAATTTCCTTTTGTATGAATAAAATGTAATTGATATCTTTTCCTAAAGTTTACGGAGTTGAAAGAAATTAAATTGAATCAATAACCAAGCATAGTTAACTTTGTATGTCCTAAGTTTTAACAATAATTATGCCTGTGAGATTATCACAGTTATATAAACATGGCAGTCTAATTGTTGAAATCACCGAAACATTTATTTTAAATGGCCATAATTTCTAAAACTGTTTGAAATGTTTAAAATGCACATTTTAACACTTTTTATCAATTACATGTATATGTTCTTCTTAACATTAGATTTTTAACATTACATATTAAATTCTGTGTTTTAAATGTTTTATCTAAAAATAAAAACTGAAATCATTGCAAATCATGGTGTTTTACGTCATATCTAAAAAATAGTTAAAAATAGTCACTTTTCCTAGCCAGAGTTCAGCCCTGGATAAGAGAGCCACCTGTATAAGAGAGACACTTTTACAAATCTCTTATACAGGTTTGACTGTATTTTTGTATCTTATTTTTGAATTTCCTAAATTTTTTTAATGGACTGTTCAAAATTCAAAACAAGACAGAAAACATTATACAAATTCAGCAAGTTCTGTGTTTGATATAAAATGTATTTTCACTGTTAATAGAATAATTAACACTATACCTTCATCTTCATCACCTATAGTGAACACTGATGCCATATTTCGGTACCGTTTCCCCACCCTGTCTGTATTACTAATATGTCTCTCCTCTGCAATTTGGTCATTCTTGATGTAGTTAGATAATTTCTCTTTCATCTCTGTTGATTTACTCTTCACAACATTTGATAGTCTTCCAAAAATAGAATCCCCAGTATCACCCTGTAACAATAAATTCCCTTCATTATTTTTTACATTTATCTTCAATTCCATCAAAGCTTAATTTTACTGCTAGCACATATATTCAATTTAATTATTCATCCTTGTTAATATTTTCATGCACTTATGGGAGGTATAGCATAAATTATCAACATAGTTTATAACAAACTTCATCCAGATACAGTCAGCACACAAGCACTGGGTCAAAAACATCATCACTTATCTACTCCAGGTTTTTCGTCCTTTTTGACATTTTAAAGTTTTAAGTCAATCCATATCCAACTTCTTAAAGTCACACAAACACTATTAAAGTAACTAGGAAACTAAATTAAATAGCAACATTTTACTTTACATCCAAAGGAGTAACAAACTTGCCACCTGTGCTAATATCTAATGCTTGAGTAAGCATATGGTAAGTATAAACATCCTTCCATCAGCTAGCTGCATTAGAGAATTTAACATTCAAATTGTGGTGTAAACACCTTATTCTGTAATCATATTTAAATTATCTACCTTGGCACTGGCAGGTTTAAAGTCGTCACCACTCTCTGCATCACTTATATTACCAAGTTCCGGTACACAAACTATACAAGATTTAGGGTTGTGGTCCACTATACCATCATTTATTTGCCCATTTAATAAATGATGTAAAGCTGAAACATAAAATAGTTTTATGATCCTACATTTTAGCACAAATGAAAAATACATCAAGGAATTATTTTTTTGCTCAGTGGTCTAGAGTGTTCGTACTAGGTTTTAATATTCATGGTCATAAGTTCGAAACTCAGTCAAGGTGGAATTTTTTCCAATGCAGTTAACAATTTAAAATGTTAATCATTTTTATTTCTAGGCTAACAAAACTTCAAACATATGAACTGGAAAAGTTTTGATAATTGTAAAAGCCCAAAGAGAATTATGAGCTCAAATTGTGTAATATTCTAAGACAATGCACTCTCAAAAATTCCTAACTTTATAACTATGACATGTTAAAGCAATAATCATGTCTATAAAATCAAATCATACCAGCATAACCTCCCCTTGCTACGCTGACATATTGTTGATGTTTCTGTAGAAAGTTGGCAACTACCATGTTAACATATTGGTCCTCCTCATCACGTCCACTGCCAACAAAACAAAGGTGTTCCCCACCAGCGGCTGATCCTAATAATACATCATATATAAAATATATTTACAAAGTCGGACCTCGGTCGAAAAAAAAATACATAGAAATCGTTCACTTAAAGCTTCACATCTTCAGTGTATCAAATTAATCAAAACATCAACTCTAGAAAATAATATCAATAGTTTATGATATCTATAAATATTCACAATTTTCAGAATGAACCCCCCTTGAGGAATGTAGGAGGGATTTTGTCTTCCATAATGGAAGGGCTTTTGTCCTACCCGTACATTTCCCTAGAGACCATTTGTCAAACTTATCAAATCTAAATGAGATTATTTTATTCGGGATGATTGGTTGGTGTGGAGGGTTGTTTTGTTCTCTCTATTTTAACATATCCCACACCCTGTATTCCAGCAGATGCATAGCAGAGCATAATTATATTCTTATTACTCTAGAAATTAAGAATATAGAATATTTATATAACAGGGTACATACCAGCAAGTATGGCTTGCTGCTGTGCTGAGAACAGTCCCTGTACAGCAGTGTTAAACTCTTCAGGATTTTGTAACATCTAAAATATACAATAATTTACATGAAATTACCATAAAAATAAATAGCAAAGATTTTTTCTACATTCAAAATCTCTTGTTCAATATATATGAGATATACAAAAAATCAACTCTACTTATGCCACATAACCTTAACAATGAAATATTACAGCTTAGTTATAAAAGAATTAGACAGCCTAGCGGTTAGGTGTCTGCCTTTCAACCAAAAAATTAAGGGTTCAAGCCCTACCGAGGGTCACATGTTTCCTCATATGACACCAGGTTTGATTAGTTCCCGAAACCAGACTCAAGAATAGTTCAAAAACATGTTACCTCGTTTCCATTAAAAATGATCTAACAACTGTAGAGATGCCTTTATTTACAATTGTTGGGTATTTTTCTGGGTTTTTTTTGTTTTGTTTTTTTCTGGGGTTTTATGTCACATCGACACAGTATAGGTCATATAGCCACGTTCCAGCTTTACTGGTTGGGGAAGACCTCAGGTGCCCTTCCGTGCATTATTTCAGGCACGAACGGGCACCTGAGTAGAACCACCGTAGTTGGATAGCTTCCTCACATGAAAGAATCCAAAGTCCCTGTCGGGATTTGAACCCACAGCGGTGAGGGGCAAGTGGTTGGAAGTCAACGACCATTAATCACTTGGCCACAGACACCCAAATGTATTTTTCAGGTAAATAACAGGTAAAACAATCAGGCAATAAATATTATAATTAAAGAAAATATTTTACTCACTAGATTTGCGTCTAAATGCATGGCAGTAGGAAGATGTCCACTGTTGTATTGTTCTGCTGGTCGACAATCTACTACAAAATATCGTACTCCATCTCCCTGTAAATTACAATCTTCTATACTCTTATACTGCAAACAATAAAGGCTTGTTCATGTCATCAGAATACACAAAGGATAATCTACACATCCATACAGCCCAACAAGACTCTTTACCTTCTGCAACTTAATTTTAGTGCTTTGATCTTAAATCCCTTCCAGTAATAAAGTAAAAATCCAATTTCAAAGAAGGATAAACAACAAGGAAAAGGTAAATAATGTAAATTTTATGAATACAAAGGAATGCTTAATTCAAAATTGATAGTTTTTTAACTGTCCTCTCTCAAATAAAAATTGGTTAAATATCACCGAATAAGTAGGAAATTTACCCCAGCAGGACTGTTGGCTTGTAAAAGTTCGCCTACACCGACAGGTAGGCACAACATCTGCGATAACTGTTGATCGGACTCCTCTGAGATTTTCAACTGTCCTAGACTTGTTCCATACAATGGTCGCTCATAGTCCTGTAAAACAATGAGGAATGCACATTACATACCATTCCTCTGTCAACACACATGTACATAGTGTTTTTGAAAGTTCAATTATATACAAATGTACAATAAACACACTACTTCTCTGTCAGCATTCATGTGAATAAAGAGTTTTTAAAAGTCTATTTTAACAGTCACTTGTCAACAGTCTTGTAAACAACAGCTGTAAGTATGAAAGCATGCTCAACCATTAGTAAAAACCTTGATAATGTAGATTTTCTAAGTTAAAAAAGAGCCATAGTTTTGTCAAAATCCATGTTAAGAGATATGGGCCTTCGATAGTGACTTCATATTATGCTCTCAAGTAAGTGTTTGAAGTTTCAACCAATTTCTTCAGTAGTTTTGTAGATACCAACTTGCAACTTAACCAAAGTGTGACGCTGACACCTGGGTGAATATAATGGCTCTCCCTATTCTTGAAATCAGGCTAATACAGCAATTGAATAATAATAAGTTTCTAAAAAATTTCAAACCACTTATTCATCACAATGTTAGCCAGAATGATGTAGATGCAACAAATCTGGACAAATTCTGATTTTTTAAAATTAAACTATCCTTGCAATATTTCTAGATTAAAAATTCCTAAAATAAAATCTTGCATCACATTTTGTTTTGCATCTGCAAAGGTGCAAGCCAACCATTAGCATACTGGCAGCAACTTATTTTACCCATGCAACCAGTGCAGAACAAGATTGATCTACAATATACCTAGATGTTACAAAGTTAAAACTCACCCGTCTAAATGACTGTGGTGTTTTAGAGGCGTAATACTGTGCTAATGAACAGAAATCTTCAATATCCTCAGCTTCTAGAGCACTTGGAAATGATGCTATCAATTCTGATAAAACACACAAGTTTCATTTATATAGACAAAGTAAAAACCATTTACATATGACAAAATAACAAAATGAAAAGTCACTATATAAATCAACAGAAAATCATATGTGAAACAAATATTAATATGTGGCAGAAAGTTTCCCATATAAATGAAATTGTCTTTTTACTAGAAATATGTCCATATAACACAAATGCCTCCACCATTCCAATGTTTTGTCAGCCTACAAACGGACAGCATGAAGAATGGACAAGGAGTAAACTATATGCTCCCCTGAGTAGTGGGGGCATTAAACAACTAATGTACAAATTTTCATATAGATCTAGGAACCGCATGCATCAACATGGATTGTAGCAAAAATCTTCTTAGGTCAAATCAATGTTTTTTAAATAAAAAAGATAACCAAATTTTGAGAGTAGGATTTCATTTAATGTATACTGTGACCAAGAAATTAATTTACAATTAAGCCATTATATTCACTGACCAAAACCTGAATATAACAACAAGTGTATTTTTTCTATAAGTCTTATACATAAGAGCAACATGGTGGGGAGGTTGACTGGTTAAAGCATCAGACTAGATATTTAAGAATCACTAGCTGCATTGCTTTATTCCCTTTTCAGATGCAAGCTGTTGTTTTCTTGAGCAAGAATCTTTACACTCATTGCTTAGTACTGGTTATTTCCAGGAATGGATTCAAGAGCCTGTCAACAAGCTGAAACTTTTCTACAAAATCTAACTAAAGATGAGTTCAGTATAAACTCCCAACAACATACACTCAAATATTTACAGCATATAGTTTCTATACTAACCAACTATGGCCTGTTTGTCTTTATCTTCAGCTTCTAACAGCTGATCTCTGGCATTAACTAAGATAACAAGAGCCATGAAAAAACAGAGGAACGGATCCGACGTTTGTAGATATACATCCCACATGTTGAGTATTACCTTTAAATCACAAACCGAGGCAAACAAACTTCGAAACTGAAAATGTATAAAAAATGAGGGTTTAGTTACTTTATGTCAGTAAACCATAACTAATTGCAATAAACCATAATTAATTGCAGTAAACCATAATCAATTGGCCAGGAAGTCCAACCTGGCACCTAATATCAAGACAAAATACATGACAACAATGAATGTGAAGCTAGGTCTTTTTAACTCCATTTTAACCTTGAATAAATTCTTCATATAGGACAACTTTATAATGTCATATAAATTCTCTTGGTATCTGTTTCAAACTATCACTAAAAATTACATTCCACTTACCCAAGATTGTGCATAAATATCAGGTGTGATACGTTTTGTGTCTAGAAATGAGCAGAGCTCTGGGTCGTGATACTGCAACAGTAAACGAAATAAATGGAAAGGTTTACCATTCTTTTTGCAATCTCTGAAATAAAAGATTACAAAGTGAATATCAGATACAACTATCACTGCATTTAAAATAGTCTAGTATGTTCATAGTTCTTGGAAGTTCTCAAATGAAAAGAGAAAGGTCATACATTTTTTGTCAAAAATATTCCATTGGAAGATTATATACAACACATATACTGACATTTAATTTGTATTTTGCAAGCATATTGCATCAACCACAGAAGGCTCAAAGTTGCGCAAAGAAAAAAATGCTACACTATTTCCTTATACTCTTTTAAAATTGAGATATTTTGTGATTTCAAATCTCAACATAACTGCCTTTGTCCTTCTTTACACATAAGTTTTACAGATATGTCATTTTTCTAAGACAGAAATTTTTTTACTTACCTTGTAATGTATTTATTTGTGAGAGCATAAAAGCAGTTGTATAGTTCGGATTTACTCAGTTTTAATGCCATCAGAGGTTGTAAAATATCTAGCCAGCCGTTGTCAGACTTATAAGTCTCTCCTCGTGATTTACAGAAGAATGTGATTATAGACTCAATATCTCCAAGTACAGACACTTTCTCTTCTTCTTCATTACCTAATCTGTCTGTAAAACAAGATATAAACATTTTTGTGTGTGAAAAAAGGAATAAACATTATTGTGAAACATTCCTTATTACCCAAGCTGTCTGCAAATGTAAAATAAGAAATCAACTTTTGATGTTTGAAATATGAAATGTCTTCTTCTTTTTTCTTGAGACAACTTTTACCTACAAGAGGCATAATCAGGGATTATCTGCATTAAAAAGTAGGCCAAATATAAGACATAAGTGCCACTATGAAAATTCTTAAAATTATGCCAAGATTTTCTCCTAATCAACTTATGGTTCTGTATTACTTATGTACAGCAATAAAATAGTAACACTTTGTTATACCATAAATCATAATTACACATATTAAATGACTCCAGAATTATGTAAAGTAAACATATAGATAAGTACAGACTGAAAAAAAAAAACAGACAAGACGAAAATCAAGAACAACAAATAATTCAACTTGAAAAACAATTGAAATTAACAATATGAGTACTTACCAACTAATTGTGTGCAATCATCTCTAAGTTGGGCTTGCTCTTTCAGGTCAAAGAAACCATCAAAGGAAGCAAGAGCATCTCCTTTACCTTGAACTTGTAGGCATATCTGTAACAAGTCAATAATATACATACAAGTATTATTATTTTTTTCCTTTCATCAAATGGTTTGCCCTGGTAAACAATTTGTTTTTTTTTCATGACTCGAAAATTTTCCAGTATGACCTGACCTTGACCTACATTGCAACCTTTCTGTAGAGCTATAACCTGTTTACAACAACAGTATCATTTTCCCCAATCTTATCAAATGTTAGACATCATAATAAATTTAACCTCTCCAGAGCAAAACTCTTTCGGAATAGCAAAAGAGTTTGTCTTCGTTTGTCTTCCAAAGGGTGTTGCTTTGCAGAGGTTGCACTGTATAGTATTCCCAAAATGGTGAAAAAAACACAAGCATATTTTCTAGTTTCATTTTGATATATTTTTCTTTAGCACATGATATTGCTGTCTATCCATACAGACCCATAAATGTACATGCATAATATATGTATTTGCAATAATACACTAACAGCTTTTGTTGATATGTTTTGAAACAAACTGCTTTCAAATGGATATCTGTTTCTTCAAAAATCATTTTCAAATTAAACATTATATATTTCTGTTTACAAAACATCTACTGTTATAATAAAATAAAAGAGCCATGAAATATTGTTATAAGTGGAGGAATATACAAATGTATCGTATAAGTACCTAATCTCACACCCAACCTATTCTCAAACCTTTCATTCATGTGCTGTTATTTTTTTACTAGAAGTGACTATGATGTCCTAAATTTGTGTGCTTAAAAGCTTAGTTTCTGACAGATATGTCTGCTGATGTCAAATGAAAACAGTGCATAGGAACAAATATTTACATAACATATTTAATTACTTAGTGTAATTTCATACAAACTGCTATTACCTTTGTAAGTCCCATAAATACACCATTAACTATTTGTGAAAAAGAATATTATAGACAAAAATATCTTAAAGCAGGTACCTGCATCGTGTAGGGTACTTCATTGTCACGTGATAGTCATATAACAATCACTTAATTGACTAAACTAAACAGTAGAATTTTAGAGATACTTGAAGGGGTTTGAGATTAGGTTCTTTATTTTAAGAGGCCATGTCAGTTTTAAAACAGAGGGTTGTGCTTTTCCAAGATGGACATAGAGCTTTTTTAGTTGTTGAATTTCAGTCAAATTTTACAGAAATGTTACATAAAGATGAAAGTGTAAATATGTAAAGAATTTTTATAAAGATATATCTTTATTTACACTAAAAGACCTCTTGAATGCTAAGCGGTTTGAGAACTGGTTAGTCCACGATATATACCCGTATATGTATATGAAAGATTGATCTACATTTGATGAACTTATAGTTTAGTTAGTGATTTTTTTAAGGTACATGTACTATTACTATTGCTAAAAAAATCTGAGATTATGAAATAAACTATGGGCACTTCATTACCTGCCATACATCTGCTCTGTGTTTTTGTGGCACAGGACGTCCCTTGCAAATATTGCGCAATGATCCAAAATCACATTCCTGAAGTAATGCATCTTCTAACTCTTTATTCCTGAAATAAAACAATATAGGTAATGCATGTTAAATGAAGAATGCACCATAACTTCATTCTTTAAAATCATGTAATTTCTCCTAAAATTCAATTTCAACTAAAACCCGAAAAAGATGCTGAAAAACTTTAATAGATTGTCAAACATTTAAATGCCAAACTTCTTTTAATTCTATGAGTATGCTAAGGTATTTCCTTGTCAGCAATAGCTTTACTAAGGTGACTAACAAAATAAAACTATGTGAGAAAATAAAGTAAGGCTATTAGACAAATATTTTATGTTTATCACTTTATTTATTCATGGACAACCTCATTAAAGGAATGTGTATACAAATTACATTATAATACTAATTATCATTTCCATTAGCAACAACACAACTTTTAGTGCCAGTTTTTGCCCAGTAAATCTTGTAACTTTGCGACTACTGGTATAGTCTGAACATAAAGCCAGGAATGGTTTGCACATCAAGCAGGGTCCATCAAAGCCAATTTCAAGCACTGGTCAAAATGCCATAATTAAGCAATGGTCAGACAAATGTATGCAGGTAATAATCAATATAGTATACTATTAAAAGAATGGTTTGTGCCTCTGGCTCAGGCACTTTTTTCCCCACAAATTACTACACACTTCAAATTGCATGATTTACTCCACATGACTACAAAATGTTTGTTACTTTTGAAATACAGTCCTTACAAGTTTAAAAGATTCACTAGATATCTCAAATGAATCTTTCATCATTCATATGAAAACATAAACTCATTTAGAATCCAATTTCGTTACATGTATCCAAACTGGATAAGAATTGCTTTTAGGAAAAGGATACTTCTATTTATTCTATATCTTAGATATTGAAGTATTATTCATGCTAGGCATATTTTTCAAAACCATCATTCTTTGCTAGATACTTGCATTAATGTAATGATTACTTTAGTAGCAGGCCCTTAGCTAAATCAAACACACCAACTAATATGGGGAGGTCAAAGACCGGGCCCGCATCGCGAGCCCGGGCTTTGGCTTGCACGGCTATAGACGACACGTGTATATTTAAAAGAAAATCAAATAAAAAACAATTAAAAAATACATAGAATTCTATACCTATCAATGAAATTTTCAGTGTCAGTTCTAGTTGGGCACCGCCATTTACAATTCAACTCAATGATAATAGGCGGGTATTCCTATAACGGAACAAATCTCAACTTTTCGGATTAATAAAAATCGTTGAGTGTTCCGAGTGAAAACGGAAGCAATGCTTTAAATACCGAATGACACCTTTAAAACGGAAAGAATGAAAATAATTTTTTAACGACTTCCCCGTTCATATGCTTTGCCTAATTTCATAGTATGAATAAGGTTATGCTTTAAAGTCAGCTCTCTGATACAATTTTTTATACATTCACAAGTTAGTATTATGACCATATTTTTTAGACCCATCAGCAGCTGCACACTTTTACTTCACATTGACTACCACTGGAGCTTTATAGCAAGCTCGAAGGGCCCGCTCGCAAAGCGAGCTTTATGGTAACATGAGTACTTGCTAGATAGTGATGGTTTTGAAAACTTTCGTCGGAAGTGCTGATTGGACACATCACAACTTTTCAAATTACAATATAACATGAAATGCCGAGGAATTCTGATTGAAAATGGATGCGTGAACTGGTGTCCTGCACACTTTCAAAGGATCCATGATGGGACAGGGAACCAGAATAAACGGAAGCAGTGCATGAAATACCGAATGACAAGTTTTAAAACGAAAAATGTTAAATAAGAATGAACAATTATTTTATTCTATTCCAAGTATTTCATGGCAAAAGTAAATCAAGCTCGCTTTGAGACTTTGCCTTTTTCATATTATGTTTACGGTCTATAATAAAGATACAACACACTTAGTTGTTATGTTTAGTTGTGTACATCTTGTACAATAAGTCAATATCATTATTTTGCAGGGTTGTCATTAAGAGGCGACAGGAGGCCAAAATACCTGTCTCAAATGCATTATGGGCCGCCTCAAAATTAAGAAAACACTCTTTGTTATGCATGATAAAGACAGAAATGACCGCCTCAAGTTCAAACCAAACCTTCTGCAAAAAATGTTAATGACAACCCTGCTGTAAATGCCCATGATTGGCAATAACATTCATGTTACAGAATGAACTCCCGTCAATAAAGCTAGTATTGTATACCAAGCACTGAGTAGTTCTAATCTATTACAGACAGACACTCAAATTATAATTTAACAAAAATAGCTTACAGTGACCTGGTGACAGCTTTTTTCAAGTTTTGCATGAACTAAGATAGTCCATCAGCTATGACTTAGGTACAACAATCCTAAATCATGTATATATTTGTTAATCCGAACAGATCAGCGATAAAGGCAAAAATCTTTGAATGAAACAAAAAGATTTTGATTGACAGAAGACACAGATTAATATTTACCAGTCATTTTCGTCTGACACTTCCGCCATGTTTGGATTTGACGTGTTTGCCACAAATCAACTTGTCGTAAAATAACATGGTAAAGTAATAATTTAGAATATATTATTTAGATTTACAAGGATAAGTCATCGCCTAATGAACGATACTCATTAATTAAGCTTAATTTAAGTTTGTTAAAGATTTTACGACATTTGACCTGGATAGACTGGTTTCGCTTTAATAGTTTTGCCTTTGCGCTTTTTATAAACGTTGAGTTCATTTGCTTTCTGAGAAATGTTGTATTTGATCTACATAGAAATCGAATTATTTGTATTTTGAAATGAGTCTGTCCTACCTTGTTAAACATTTACGCAAATCTGATATATCAGTTTCATGATAAATACGTTTCAGAGCATGACCGTCACGGGTTTTACTGCCTTTAGTACATTTGTCATTTATATCTTCACAGCGGTACAAGTCAACCCGGCCCCAAGTCAACCCGGCCCTAAGTCAACCCGGCCCCAAAATTGGTCAACCCGGCCCCAAAATTGGTCAATCCGGCCCCACGGTATTTTAATTTGGTCAACCCGGCCCCAAAATTGGTCAGTGCGGCCCCAAAATTGGTCATTCCGGCCCCAAAATATATATTTTACAAAGAAAACTTTTTAAGTCATTTTGTTGTATGATGGAATAAAAATGATTTATTATTAATTGAAGATTATTAACTATAGAACAATAGTAACAACAAGTGTCGGTAAATGTAATTGCGCCGATTAAGTCTTTTATACGCAATATTGATAAATTATTATATAACATCAACAATTATATGTACATCAACATTAATTCAGATGTGATAATCAAAACAGTTTAAAGCAATCAATTAACAAAAAAGGTATAGCTGTGAAAACAAATTCTTTTAATAAGTTGGTAGTATCTTTCATGTCTTTATTCGATGTGTAAACGGGGAACAGTCTTTCGGTTCGATATCACAGGACCGTTTGTGTAAATTAAACAAAAGAAATGAGAATAAAGGCAAATGTAAGTTTTATGAATTGTATTAAATATTTAAGTCATCATATTTCATAATTAACATGCATATAAAATAAATAAGGTAGGGGAAATAAAAGAAAATTGGAAAACTTCCGAGAAATAAAAACAACGGCTTACCGCAATGGTGGTCAGAGCGCTTCTCCCTTTTATGACGTCAAACCTTCACGTCCAAGTGTTCGTTCAAGTTTGACGTCATAAGGTGACGTCATAAACGTGTTAATTAACAGGACACTTGTTAATAGCAATTAACATACAGAATGGGATAAATTTAAGTTGGCAAAAGTGCCAAATGATTTCAAATACTTATTGTTTAGCAGCGTAATAATATTGCCTAACTTTAAACAAGAAAAGTGATCGTATAGTGTTTCAAAAGTGATCGTATAGTGTTTCAAAGGTGATTGTAAAGTATCAGTACTAGCATAATGGAAATTAAGATATCAGAATTAAATAGAAATATAGTACTTATATAAAGTAAATTTGGTCATCTATTACAGATGTAAATTAAAGATGGTTTCGTGAGTGTTAATGCGATAATTAGGAAGAAATGCATAGAATTTCGAGTTAAAAGGTTTGTATAAATATAGTTTCCAACAATATTTTTTTCAATGAATTTGAATGTTTTTATTGAATACGTTCATTATTATAATTAATATTTGTTTCGTTTTTTATTAACTTATTTTCAAAGAATATTTACTGTGGAAAAAAGTATTGGAATATTACTAAGTGCTTGGAAAATTGATAGTGTTTTGTGTTTAATCACTTTATGTCATAAATAAAAAAGTATGCAATTGAATGTATGAAAATTATTTTTTTTTTATATTATTTTGTGTGATTCTTATAAATGGTTACAAACGTTTTTACAGGCTAAAGAGGTTGCCGCAATCGATGTCATGAAATCTGCTGCTTCTTTCGTCTCATTGAACTTTTGTTTTTGTTGTTAATTTTTATCTTATTTCTTGATAAGTGTTTACATTTTAAAGCAAAATAAATAATAAAAAAAAATGGGGCCGGGTTGACCAGAAATAAAATTGTTTTGGGGCCGGGTTGACCAATTTGGGGCCGGGCTGACTTGGGGACGGGTTGACTTGGGGCCGGGTTGACTGTAATTCTCTTCACAGCACGGAGTTCTCGTGTATAGAGACATGGTGCTACTGCTATTGCATAGCAACAATATTGCTTGGTTATTATTTCTGTCACATTATAGGTACAAGTATACTAAATCCAGATTTATTAAATATGTATCTGGTTAGTCGCTGTCTCAGACCTGGGCTTCATAGCTTCAGCGCCAAGCTCCTCACAAAGAAAATATAGCTGATTATATTTTCTGAGAACTTTACCGATCATCATGATTTGTTCAGGAGTTCTTCTTTTTCTTTTCTTTGTATATGTTTATACACTGTGGAGTCCATAAAGACTCAGTCCTTTTGGTCTTTTTATTTTTAATATACGTAAACGATATAGCTCAATCATTTCCAAGGCCAAAATCAGGTACGTGTATGTTAATATACGTACCTGCCAAAATTAAGAAATTTGTGATTCAAATCGAAGCAAATAATATGCGATGGGCTTTATCAAGGTAATGATAAAAAATGCATTTGAATGACTGGTTATATTTCCAGGTATATCTTTATGTAAATATCAATTTCCCAAATCTTTGCAATTATAATGGCATAAATAAAAGGCGTTAAAATGCACAGACCTGTATAGTATCATTTGAAAGACAAACTTTCAAAATGTTAACCCCTTTCATGTTGTAACAAACCATTTCAATTACTGTCCGCGTTCCGCTGTCATGAGATCTTGTTTTTTATCTATAGAGTAGATCTAGCAAAGTTGAATTTAGTATAAATAAGGAACTAAAGATTGTTGGCTCACACATTTTAGTTATGACGTAACAAATAACTTGAGTTTTTTTCACCAGAATTGGTAACATGCAAACCCAACACAGCAAAAATTGAACATGTTATAAGATAGAAAAAAATTATTAGGCCCATTTATTGACGGCAGTGGCAAACGCTAATTACAGACTATGCACGAATTCCGTCATTATTAAATATGAAAAAGTTCAGAGTAAGAATGTAGATGTTTCCAAGGTTACCTAAGATCAGACTCATTGCGGCAGTTTACGGCATATTATTTCGATTTTATAGTAATGCATTGTGTTTTGGTATATGTTGTCGCATCATTTTAAAATCATATCATTTTTGTTTTTGTTTAACTTTTCACTCGAACTGATTTGTTTAAGTATTAACTGCTTTATTTCTTAAAAATGCACATTGATTGTACTACAAACTTTATAATAGCATATTACGGTTAGTAAAGTCAATTCACTCATACATGTATGATAAGTTATAAGTTTCTTGTTGCTCATAAAATAATGTTGAATGACAAACAGACACCATCAGTAGATTTTTATAAGATGATGCTCTAACGAATATTTCAAGTTTCATACTATAAACCATTCAAGTTTCAAACATAGATAATATACGGGTAAATGAATTAAAGATATGACAACGAATATGCTCCCTTAAGGTAGAACGCGACACTTTGCGAACTTTCGAGTAGCGACTTGAAAAGTGACATGCAAAAAGTTGACCATATTTCTGATTAGGTTCCGTTAATTTTATTTCAATAGTTTCAGCCAATTTTTGTACACATGGCGTCAAAGTTATCCATCAAAGCACGTTTTTGAACATGACGTCGTTGCGTATCCTTGGCAACTGTTACGGGTATTTCAACGCCATTTCACGCCTGCCCAACAACCGTTAGCAACAAATAACAAAAAAAAAACAAAAAAAAAACAATATTCCCAACCTAGATTTTTCCATGTTTGCGTGCACAGTAATACATCGGAATCGGAAATAACACACCTGATTTTAAGCTAAGCTATATAAGTACCTATGTGCTATAGGTGTACGTGCTATCAGCAGACAATGGTCCATCCCAAATTGACCCAATAAAGAGGTTAGATCTTATAACGTTAGTTTTAAACAAACTGTTCTCTTCGCAGATTGATATAATTTAGATAGAATTACTGTAGGTTAAATAGATGAATAAGATATTTTATGTTAGAACAATGTATATAGCAGTATCGTCTGCAAAAAAAAGCGGATATATATGTTTTTGTGGGAGGTCATTTATAACGATCCTAGAACTGTGACTTGGGGGACGCGTGAGAATGCTGGGATCGTGTTTGAGCTGCTGGCATTAAGCACAACAGACTGCAGCCTGTTATCTATAGAAAACATTTAACCTATCTTAAAGTTTGTCTGTCGTGTAGTTTTAGCTGTACTTTCTCATGACTGACCGACCGAGTCTGCAATTTTCATGTAATTTTGTTGTGATTAATGCTTCCGAGAGATCACTTTGTTTCTATATTTTTATCGAAATTCTGACTGAAATCTAAGAGTATCAAATCTTCTTGCTTTCCCTCATAGTCTGGCGTGACTAGGTCATTTACCAACATAAAAAATTGCGTAACACATGACATTTTTTCCCTCAAATCATGCTGAAGGTGGAAAAGATGTTATGGTTGGTATTTAATGTTTGATAATACAAGAGGAAACTATGTGTTCCATTACCTTATAAAAACACATGTTTAGTTAAGGAAACGCAGAGATTGACCTAAACATTAAGTTTAGACGTAATGCTTGTGACGGTTTTATTGATATTTTGGACAAACGTTTGCCCAAGAGGACAAATATTTCAATCAGTGATGTCATATTTAGTGAAAGGCTATACAGTACTGTACTGCAAGTGTTAAAACGTTTCATAAATACGTAAAAAAACATTAAATCTGTGTAGAATATTGTATCAGTTTCAAACCGATTAACAATTTATCATTAGCTACTCCTTACTGTACAATGAAATAATCGATACAAATTATGAATGAACAGATATTTTACAGTCAGCGTAAATACTACAAACTGTAAACCAGTCTAATTCAGAACCAGGAAGATGCAATATGGCGCAGGGTAGTAGAACCAGATCAAATCAGCAAGGAATGAACCTTTCAGGCGTGATAGGCGTCTTGCAGGGAGTTTTTACCCCAAATAAATTAGTTGTAGATAAACGGACTATAGAAAAATCATGGAAATTAATGGACAAAGTGGTGAAAATGTGCCAACATCACCGAATGAACTTGCGGAACAGTCCACCGTTCATTCTTGATATTCTACCGGACACATATCAGCACCTTAGACTTATATATAATAAGCACGATGACAAATTGCATACTCTTAATGAATGTGAATATTTCAGGATTTTTATAGATAATTTAATGAATAAATGTAAGAATACAATAAAGTTGTTCAAAGAAGGAAAAGAAAAGATGTTTGATGAAAATTCTCATTACAGAAGAAATTTGACTAAACTTAGCTTAGTGTTCTCACATATGCTAGCGGAATTAAAAGCCATTTATCCGAATGGATCATTTGCAGGAGAAAATTTCCGCATTACAAAAGTTGATGCAGCAGAATGGTGGAAGAAATCATTTGGTGATAGGTGAGTCATGACATGACCTAATTCTATTTAAGTATGTACATGTATAATAATTTGATATTGTTTATCGATACATTTGGATAAGAATAAGGCCTTTAATAATATTTCCAGACAGTGTAAATATGAAAATTAAGTTGGGGAATTTGAATAATGTTAATGATATTTGAATCTGTGAATGTACAGTATTGCAAGGCAGTAGATTAGTTCGCTTAGTGTGACACAGTTAGTCACTACGTCAATGTATGGTCATCCTCAGAGTCACAGTCACACACCTTCCTCGTTTGAAGATCATAAAAATGACTCTGATGACTAAAAGTTATTTTTCTGAAATCAAACGTTAAATTGGGGTAATGGTTGTTAAATTAGTTACATTGTAATTTGGACAGTTTATAACTTATAAGTAGTAATAGTAGATAATCATGATGTTAGCCTGCATGTTATTGTTAAAAATTATTTAGTTTATTAATATTGACCTGTTTGTCACATGTAAAAAAATGTTCATGAAAATAAAGAAATCACAAGGAAAAAACCACAAGTACTAGAATATTTACAACACAAATGAAATGTAGAAAAATGTTGGATTATTATATTTATTTGTTACATGTACATCTGTAAGTAATTCTTTTAAGAACTGCCTCTTATTTTTGTAATATTCGTCTTATATTATAAGTACTGGTTGAGAACCACCAAAACCGGACAACCATCAAATCCGGGCGCCCCCAAAAATGCTTAATTTAGTATTTTATTTGCTAGCCTATGTGGTTGTAAGTCAATTTTTTATCAATAATAAATGTATGTTTCTTCTTAAATTAAGTAAATAAATTTATTTCAATCTCCGTAAATGGTAATATTTTAATGTCTATTTCAAGAATATTGACGTTGAAATTTGGGGGTCAAGAAAGCAATGCCTCACCTCATATACCAGCTATAATCATTCGCAGGTTAAACAATAGAACATCCAAAAATTCAGCATTTGCTGCTGAAATACTGTATAACGTGTTAAAAATAAAAAATAAAAACACCCAAGCTTTTATCTGAATTAAATCACGCCATGTACATATCTGTCCGGACACATGGTACTGTAGTGTAGACAATTTAAATAATTTTGATACCCTCCTTGATGAGCCTCAGATGTAAGTGTCAATACAATCAGAAATAAACAAACTGGTTTGTTAGTTAGGAGAAGAACCTAGCTGTACTGTGTCAAATTTTTAGGTCTCTGGGTTGAAAATTATAAAATCTGTATGGAAAAATATTCAAAAAGTGTCCGGTTGATGGTCCCCGACCAGTATTGCCTGTTTATACTATGGCTTGAAAAAAATCCCAGAGCAGATACAATGGTCTTGTACGTGACAGTATTTTTATGCCAAACTTGTGAAGATTTTAAAGCCTCTCAACATAAAAATTTGTATTTTGTTCTACATTGAAAGTATATTGTCACTGAACATCAAGTGCAAATTATTAGGTTGTTATGTTTACTCATTTATTATGCCCCTTTTTATCGTCTATTTCTTTCAGTGCTTTCCATACTTTGTGCTTTGTCACACTAGATCTATTTAAGTTGGTAGGGGAATTGTCTGCTCTGTCAAAATTACAGGAAAGGAATTGCCCAGGGTAAAAAAAAACAATGGGTATTTACCGTAAGGAATTGTACACCCAGCTGTAGTTATGGGGCAGGAATTGTTCATTTGTCAAAAATAGCTCCAAATACTCTGGAGGGGAATGGTCCAGGAGGGGAATTGTCTGGGATTTCAGAACTGATAAATGTGCCATGAAAATAGACAAAGGTGTTAGGGCTTTCCCCCCAAATTGTGCAGTGTTTAATCTTGTTAGAATGAGTGTGCCTAGGGCCCTATAAATACCACCAGACACAATCTGTAAACTATATTTAGCCTGTTTGAGCTAGAAAACTGTAAACCTAATCTTGCTGTGACTTTTGAGCCTGTGACACAGTTTTTAGTTAAAGACTGATGGTCTTTTACTCATCCTGCTGCATGTTTTCTGAATTGCTCATATAATGTAATAAAACAGAAATTGTGCATTCTACAGATAAGTCCTTATATGTATACATATTATATATCATCATTACATAATTTGTTTCTATGTCTTGCCAGATGATTCCCTGTCTCATATCGCCTACAGTACTGGCAATGGGGCTCCTTTGGACAAAACTGAAGTGAACATAGTGAAGGGGCCCAGGGCTTTCTAAGCACAATTATTTTTCTTGAAATTTCAAATTGTGAGGTTTTATCATTACTTCCTTAAAATTGTGAAAGAGAAAGCATAATATTAAGCTATCCAGCTAGCTTAACGAGCATCATTGGTTCTAATCAGATGCCTGTTTGTGCCTGAAATAATGTACGGAAGGAATCCTGAGGTCTTCCTTTATCGGTTTAGCTGGAAAGTTGCAATAAGACTTACGTCATGTATATACAGTGTTGGTGCAATGTTAAAACCAACCAAAGAAACAAACAGTGACTGATATGGTTGATGTGCAGATTCTGGGAACATTTATAGTCTTTAGCAAAGTGATTTGTCATGTTTTCATGTGACAAGTATATTTCTTTAGATGGTAAAATAGTAAGAGCCAGTTACAACCTAAAGGTTCTTAAATTGAATTAGATATAGCAGATCTACTTGTGTCAGATTGTTGTAATATCCTTTTCTTCCTTTATTTTGTATCCGCTTGAAAAGCATGTCAAGATTCTTTTTCCGACACAAAAGTTTCCAGGCCGTTTTTGGGATTACCCCTTTTTCCTTTTGATATGTTTTTTATTTTGTGTATTTAGCTGTACATTTGTAAATATAAAAAGCAACAATGTTAAGTAGTTCATTTGAATCAAGTGCTAAATTGAAGGGTTTTATTGTACACTATATTTATAGATCATCAAGCTCTCCCTTAGTGAAGGAATGTATACAGTGATTTTTTTTCCAATTTTCAAAACAACCTGTGGCTTTCTGAAGGGGAAAATATAGCGCGATAAATCAGAAAAGGGGGAAATCGAATTCCAATAACTGAAAATGGAATTTACCCACACATTTTATAAAAATCTTAATTTCAATTCAATTTAACATGCATGGTACACAGCAGAGGCTTATATAGGGACAGCTTTCCGTCTTCTAGCTGATATAATAAGTGACAGTCAGATGCTGTTAAGTAATGGTTCTGGTAAAGAAGTGCACAGGGCATTACAGGGGAAAATATTAACTGTTTTAGGGGAAAATATACCTATTTTGAGCTAGGGGAAACAGCCTTTATTCAGCTGTAAAATACATTGAAAAAAATCACTGGTAGATAGCTCATTTGAAACCTTTGTATAAGTACTGGTAGCATTTAACAGTGTATGTTTATTGTTTATTTTTTACTAGTTTAAATATCATAACTTTTAAACTTAAAAGATTAGTAACATTGCCAACTTATATTATCATGACATGTGTAACATTTGCTTTAATAATGTGGAATAGCATCAATCAAGTTCATTATTATGAAATAGTTTGAATAAAAGCTTTTTGTGTCACCAGCTACAGAGTAGTTGCCACATACAGGGATCACTTCTCCATCATTGTCTGTCTGTCCATCACAAAACTTGTCTAGATTACTCCTCAGAAACTATTAGCGCAATTTCGTTCAAACTTTACAGGAATGATCAGTACTTAGTGTAGTTGTGCATTCAATGATTTTTGGCAGAGTTATAGCCCTAAAATGATTTTTATTTTTTTAAACGTTATCCAGAGGCACTACTCCTCTTATACCATTAATGCAATTTCAGTTAAACTTTACAGGATTGATTAGTAGCTTATACATATAACATGGGTTTTCCGGTTGAATGATTTTTGACTGAGTTATGGTCGTTGAATAAAAGGTGTGTTAGTCTGTTAATGATTTTTGTGTCACCAGCTACACAGAACCTGATGCATGCTACAATTTAACCCTTCTCAGTGTATGTCAGTCTTTCTGTCACACTACAAACATGACAATGAGATTTTGACTTTTTTGCACTTATCAATTTAAATATTACCTCATAGACGGTTGATAAGATATGCTGTCTAAAAAGTTTTGACCTGCCGGTGATAAATTACATATTGATAATATTGATTTCGAACAAGGACATATTATATTAAAGCATGTGCTAAAATGTTATTTGTTAGGAATACCATGTTGTTGTTTTTTTGTTTTTTTTTGAGAAAAAATATTTGTTAGGAAAAACATTTTTTTTACAACTTTTTTTTACTGTCACTGTTTCATATAAGTTCAATAAATATTGATACTATATTCTATGTGGCGACTGTAAGCTTAGAATTGGGATATACAGTTGACTCTCGGTAACTCGAAATCACCTAACTCAAAATTCCGCGTTAGTCGAAGGATTTCTAAAGTCCCGTCAAAAATCTTCTTTGTCTTTGTACTTTAACTTCGTTTAAGTCAAATTTTGACTTACTGAGACTCCTTTTTAGTCGAAAGGAGTCTATGGTCCCGTCAAATAAAGTCCAACATATTTTCATCTCAATAAGTCAAAGTGCGAAAAAAGCCGATCAAAGGTCGGCGACATCAAGGTGAGATGTTGTCATTCTGGTTCACACGTTTCATAGAAATTTAATTGCCGGTAATCATGCATTATTAAATGACTTTAATCGGTATAAGGACTTACTTTGTTTTGATAGTTAGATAACTAAAGTAATATGAACTTCCGGTTCACGATATTTGCTACTTATTCACGATCTCAAAGGTATTAGACATATTGTTGTTTAAATATTATAAATGTGTTATTGTGATTTTATAGTAATGAATTGTCATGAGTGTGTGCTTGATATTATTACTGACTTGATATGCATTACGTCATTGCTACGAATGTTTGTGTTTAAGTTTCACTGTAAATATACATGTATTAAATTTAAATTATATCTTTCTGTTCATTTATAATTTGTGGTTGTAGGTGATTAACTGCCAGCGGTTAAATATTGCAGCATTGCCATCAGCAACAATAACAATTCTACTACTTTTG